TCACATCCTTTAGCCCTTTTCATCAAAGTTCTACTTTGAACTTGAAACCAGCAGTCAGTTCCCTTGTGCCTGGTGTCTGGGGAAGGATCAGCTGCTGGTGTGAGCTTTAGGTCTGTCGCTGCTCTTTGCTTTCTTGGGGCTTTGCTGCTGGTCCCTGAGGGAATTAAGAGGGCAGGGAGGCCCAGGCCCTGCCTTCAAGGAGCTTCCAGAACCGCCCCACAGGCTCAGTCCATCAGCCAGCTCTGTGGTCACACACAGGCTCCTATGGGAGAAGAGGTGAGGCTTGTAGAATGTCCGTGCTTCCCAGAACCCTAGCAATTTCTGACTTCACTCTTCATAGTCCCATGGGGAAACCAAGGCCCACACCTGAGAAAGGGCTTGGTCAGACCCAGCCAGCGTGTGACGGATGGCTCCCTGGAGGGAAGGGGGCCCTGTGGGGTTGCCATGCCTTCCCCAGCTCAGGCGGCTGCCAGCTGCCCCGGGGTGAGTGGAGGATTTGATGAAGGTTTGTGTCTGACAGGCTGGGCCACCAAAGAGGAAAATCGCAGCGGAACACCCAAGTGTGGCTGCCAGGCTCCAGGCCTGGATTTTAGCAGCTGTTGAAACAACTGGTCCCTGGGCCTGTGACCCCTGGAAGGGGTGGGGTTGAGGAAGAATGGAGATCACCTGGGGGTCTGCGTGGGCCGGACAGCTGGGAGGACAGCTGAGTAGGCAACTTCTTGCCAAGAATAGCCACCCTGGGTTCCCCCTCCACCAGCGGTCCCTGTTGTGTTCTCAGCACAGATGACAGGTAGCCTCTCACCTGGGCCATGGCTGTTCAGTTAAGCAGACATCACAGAGCCCCTCTGCTCCAGGAAGTGTTCTGGAAGCGGAGATGGGAAAGGCACTGATGCCTGGCGGGCCCCTGCAGGGCCTGCCTTCCCAGGAGGCTCTAAGCCGGACCAGCTGGGCCCGGCTCTGGCCTGGGTTGTTGTTCAATCACTCTGTCATGTCCGACTCTTTGCGACCCCGTGGACTGCAGCACGCCAGGCCTCCCTGTCTTTCACTGTCTCCTGGAGTCTGTTCAAACTCACGTCCATTGAGTCGATGATGCCATCCAACCATCTCATCTTCTGTCACCTCCTCATCTTGCTCTCAATCTTTCCCAGCATCAGGGTCTTTTCCAATGAGTCGGCTCTTCGCATCAGGTGGCCAAAGTATTGGAGCTTCAGCAATATTCAGCAAAGTATTCAGCTTCAGCACTAGTCCTTCCAGTGATTTCAGGGTTGATTTCCTTTAGGATGGACTGGTTTAGCCTCCTTGCTGTCCAAGGGCCTCTCAAGGGTCTTCTCCAACACCACAGTTTGAAAACATCAATTCTTCGGTGCTCAGCCTTCTTTACTGTCCAACTCTCACATCCACACATGACCACTGGAAAAACCATAGCTTTGACTAGGCGAACCTTTGTTGGCAAAGTGATGTCTCTGCTTTTTAATATGCCAGCCTGGGTAACTCTGGGCAAGTTTTGTAAACTCCGTTTCCTAATCTGCAAGTTAAGAATATAATGTATAAAAAGCGCCCAGTCCATTGAGGGCGTGGGGTCAGCACTCCATGAATGGTAGCTGCTGTTTTAATCATGATAACCTTGACCCCTCGTTAACACGACCTATGGGCTACTTGGGCAGTGCTATGCAGGACCTGGGTTGGAGCCCCATCTGATTTGTGGCTTCCTCCCGCTCTGACTGCTTTTTGAGGCAGCTTTTTTTTTTTAAGGAAGGGACCCACCTGACCTTGCGGGGTTCCCAGTCCCCCAACGGGTGTGATCCCAGCAGAAGTTCCTGGTAACAGGATGGTCCTAGATGAGAACTGGGGGCCCAGAGCTCAGCCCAGGCACGGGGAACAGTAGGATGAAGTTGGCTGCTCCAGGGAGCGGGGTGAGGCAGAGCTATTGGTCCAAGGTCACCAGAATCTCCCTGGAAGCCCTTCTTCTGCCCCCTGGACCTTTTGTGACTTTAAATTTTTTCCAATCCTTTCTTTTGAGTGTCAGTCATTCTTATCACAGTAAGAATGGTTGGCACTTGTTCACTCATGTGGCCCAGGCACCTTTCCTAGGGTTTTATGTGTATCATTGCTCAGCAGCCCCGTGATGGGAGCCAGGCGAGGAGACCGAGGTGGGGCTCCAGAGTCTGCTTCCTCAGCCACCATGGCCTCTACCTTTTGGGATCTCAGGGGTGGAAAAGAAGAACCTTGGGGACCCACCCACCCAGGGTCCCACAAGAAACAAGAGACATCCCTCTGCAGGAGTACAAGATGAGATTGTTCCCTATTCAAAGGGAACCGTGGGGTTTGGCCAGAATCTCGGAAATGGGTCCACGCAGGGCAGTCCAAGATTAGGGCGGTTGTAGTTTGGGGCTTGGCGTGGTGAATGTTTTGTAATTTGTTGGATGAATGAAAGTGCCCTGCACCAAGAGCCAGAGGCCTTTGGTTGGAGCTTGGCTCTGCTGCCTCTTGCCTGGGTCCCTAGATAAAGCAATTGATGTCTCTGAGCCTCAGTTTCCTCATCTGTAAAATGGGATCACAAAAGCACTTCACACAGTTAACCATGAGGGTCGTATGAGCTACTGTACGTCTGCCTCTTAGCATAGAGCATCAGTTCATGGGTGTGATCACTGTGGTTGTTAATCAAGTTCAGTAGCAAAGCTCACAGATTTCCCAGGAGCCCAGCTCACAGCTGAGAGGGAGCTCCTTGCCCCTCAGTTAAGACCCCCATTCTGACTGCCTAGGCCCTGGGCGGTCACGTGCTTTCCCACCACTACTAGTGCCCCAGAGGGGTACCTGCCTGCTTGGCCTCCTGTGTGCATCCTGCCTTGGAGTTTGTGACTTCCTCATCCTCCAGGAGCTCTGTCCTTCCAGCCTTGAGACAGCACGTAGTCAGGCCTACGGCCCTGGGCTCCTCGACCTTGGGTACCGGGAGGATGCTGGCAGAGCCGCTGCCCCTGTGACCCCTCTCCTGGCTGTCTGTGGAAAGAACCAGAAACACAAGCATCTCTGATGGGGCATGGCAGTGTCTGCTTGCCTTCTCTCCCTGTCTGTGTTTGACAAGTGCGTCAGCCTCTGGAGTAGAGGAGGAAAAGGATGAGTCCTTCCCTGCCTGATACTTCGTCTGGCAGGAAGAAGAAGCAGTCTCCGAACCTTGAGGTTTAAATGGGCAGGCTTTCCAAATACCCACTTGCACACGGGGCCTTGCATGCGGCCCAGGAGCCAGACGTGCACAAAGCATGGTGGGTTTGAGCTTTGCTGTCTGTTTGTGAGTGACCAAGCCTGCCCATGCAGGAGACATGAGATACAGGTTCCATCCCTGGGTTGGGAAGATCCCCTGGAGGAGGGTATGGCAACCCACTGCAGTATTCTTGCCTGGAGAATCCCATGGTCAGAGGAGCCTGGCAGGCTACAGTTCATAGGGTCACAAAGAGTCAGACACGACTGAAGCGACTTGGCACGCACGTACACATATACAAGCAGGTTGTCCCCCTTCTATTCTTTTTCTGAGTTTACAGCACATCTGAGCCCAGGCCTGGGAGTCAGGCCCCCCAGTGAGGGTTTTTGTCCCCATTTCTGCTGTGTGGCCTTGGGCAAGGCCCATGGCTGAGCCTCAGGGTCATTCTTTCTATAAAGAAGGGCAAAATCAGGGGACCCAGTTCAGGCCACAGAGCCTGGAGTTCAGCCCAGGAATGAGGTTAAGTGCTTGCTTCCACCTCCCACACTCCTCACCCCTTCTTTTCCTGGTCTGTGTACCCTGAGGCTTGGGCTGCAGCTTGGGGATGGGGGAGGAGGGGAAGATAACAGGAGTGGAGTAAAAGGGTTTACTGCCTCCTTCCTTGTCCTGAGATGTCTGTGGCCAGCTGTCCAGGAATAGTTAGGAGCCCAGAACTGTCTGGGGAGGAAGTGGGGGGCACAGAGATTCCCCCCCCACAAGATCTGAGTCCCAAATGGGGCCATGGGTGGTCTCAGATTAACAGCTGAGGGCCTGAGCCCACCGGGGTGAGGAAGTAGCAGCTTGTAACCCTCCATCATGGGTTCATTCTGCCCTCAGTTTTGAGTGACCCCGAGCAGTGGAAAGTCTTTTTTTTTTTTTTTCTAAAATTTTAAACTTTTGAAATATTTTTTATGTGGACCATTTTTTAAGTCTTTATTGAATTCGTTGCAGTATTGCTGCTCTTGTATTTTATGTTTTGGTTTTTTGAGCACAGGGCTTGTGGGATCTTAGGGCTTCCCAGGTGGCGCTAGTGGTAAAAAACCTACCTGCCAATGCAGGAAATGTGAGACGCGGGTTCGATCCCTGGGTCAGGTAAATCCCCTGGAGGAGAGCATGGCCAACCCACTCCAGTATCCTTGCCTGGAGAAGCCCATAGACAGAGGAGCCTGGCGGGCTACAGTCCATGGGGTCACAAAGAGTTGGAAACAGCTGATGCAGCTTAGCACACACGTGAGACCTGAGCTCTCTGACCAGAGATAGAACCCGCACCTCCTGCATTGGAAGGCGAAGTCTTAACCACTGGGCCACCAGAGAAGTTCTCTGTAACTTTTATTTTGGTGGGGGGCGGGAGGGACCATACCTTGTGGCTTGCAGGATCTCAGTTTCCCCACCAGGGATTGAACCTGGGCCCTGTCAGTGAATGGCCATAATCTTAACCACTAGGACACAGGGAACTCCCTATAACTCTATTTATTTACTGATTTATTTTGGGTGGAAAGCCTTCTGAGGAGGCACTGTCCTGAGCTTTTCATCCCTAGAATCTTCCAGAGAGGTTGGCAGAGTGGGGGATACCCACACGGCCCAGGAGCCATGAGACCTGCCCCAAGCCCCACTCCCAGCCCCACCTGCCTCAGTTTCCCCATTCGTCAGCGGGCACCGGCCCCCTCCCAGCCAGACCGCGCTCTGCGGGGCCGCTGAGGGTCCAGCTCCCCTTTCCCCTCCCCGGACCCGAGCCCTAACCGCCACTTCTGTCCTCTCTCCACAGGCTCTCCCCTGCACAAGCAGGCTTCGGGCCCTCCGGCCGCGGCCCCTGCCGCCCCCGAGAAGCCCGGCGCCAAAGCTGCCGAGGTGGGCGACGAGTTCGCTGGGGACTTCGTGGTGGGCGAGCGCGTGTGGGTGAACGGCGTGAAGCCGGGCGTGGTGCAGTACCTGGGGGAGACGCAGTTCGCGCCCGGCCAATGGGCGGGCGTGGTGCTGGACGAGCCGGTGGGCAAGAACGACGGTGCGGTGGGCGGCGTGCGCTACTTCGAGTGCCCGGCCCTGCAGGGCATCTTCACGCGGCCCTCCAAGCTCACGCGGCAGCCCGCGGCCGAGGGCTCGGGCAGCGACGCCCACTCGGTCGAGTCGCTGACCGCCCAGAACCTGTCGCTACACTCGGGCACTGCCACGCCGCCGCTCACCAGCCGCGTCATCCCCCTGCGGGAGAGCGTCCTCAACAGCTCGGTCAAGACCGGCAACGAGTCGGGCTCCAACCTCTCGGACAGCGGCTCCGTGAAGCGCGGTGACAAGGACCTGCGCCTGGGAGACCGTGTGCTGGTGAGTCCCTGCCCCCGCCCCCACCCCACGTGGGCGAGCTGGATTCCCCACCCTGGGCAGGGGGCAGGGTGCAGGGCCCAGGGGGCTCGGGCGGGATTCAGGCCGGGGCACCCACACAGAGAACCACAGAGGGACCAGCGAGGCTCGTGAAGTGGGGGCCCTGGAGACTGTTGCTGTGTGCCCCTGGGCAAGTGTCTTAACCTTTCTGGGCCTGTAGTTAGTTTTTTAAGCAGCCTCCATACTGTTCTCCATAATGGTTGTACAATATACATTCTCTGGATTGTCTTTTCATTTTGTTTATGGTTTCCTTTGCTGTGCAAAAGCTTGTAAGTTTAATTAGATCCCATTTGTTTATTTTTGTTTTTATTTCTGTTATTCTAGAAGGTGGATCAGAAAAGATCTTGCTTTGATTTATGTCAAAAAGTGTTCTGCCTCTGTTTTCCTCTAAGAGGTTTATAGTGTCCAGCCTTACCTTAGTAATCCGATTTGAGTTTATCTTTGTGTATGGTGTAAGGGAGTGTTCTAATTTCATTCTCTTACATGTAACTGTTCAGTTTTCCCAGCACCACTTATGGAAGAGACTGTCCTCTCTCCATTGTATATTCTTGCTTCCTTTATCATAGATTAGATGACCATAGATGTGTGGGTTTATCTCTGGGCTTTCTCTCTCTTTCAATTGATCTATATTTCTGTTTTGTGACAGTACCGTATTGTTTAGATTAGTGTAATTTTGTCATAAGTCTGAAGTCAGGGAACCTGATTTCTCCAGCTTCATTTTTCTTTCTCAAGATTGCTTTGGCTATTCGAGGTCTTTGGAGAACACAGAGAATTTTTAGGGCAGTGAAACTATTCTGTATGATGCTGTAATGGTGGGTACGTGTCATATATTTCTTGGGAATTCCCGGGCAATCCAGTGATTGGGACTTCGCTCTTTCACTGCCGAGGGCCCAGGTTTGATCTCTGGTTGGAGAATTAAGATCCTGCAAGCCACCCCCCCCCCCCAAAAAAAAGTATATACAGATCATCCCATCATTATAAAGGGATCTGCCTTGGGGGCTTCTGAGAGAAACACTGATTGCTTTTCTGCTTTCCCTGCAGCTGCCCGTGGACCTGGTTGCCCTGGGTTTCCAGCACTATGTCTACCATCTTTTCTCCTGTTCTCTTTGTCTTTGAGGGCTCAATACCTTTAAAAAAAAAAAGAGTCCCTTCACTGTCTTTCCAGTGCAAATTCAAGAAAGGGTGAAAATAAATGTGTTTATTTATCTACCATGTTTGTGTTAGTTGCCCAGTTGTGTCTGGGTGTTATGAGGCCCCATAGACTGTAGCCTCACCAGGCTCCTCTGTCCATGAAATTCTCCAGGCAAGAATACTGGAGTGGGTAGCCATTCCCTTCTCCAGGGGATCTTCTCAATCCAAGGATCAAACCCAGGACTTCCCACATTGCAGGCAGATTCTTTACTGTCTAAGCCACCAGGGAAGCCCCTACCATATCTATCTGAACAAAAATAGGACTTTCTAAAGGTTACCTTCTCTGACACCCCTAAGTATGCCTCAGGTGTGTGCCCCCAAAGGAACCAGCTCCCTGATTAAAACTCACTTCATTCCCACCATTTCTTAAGGACTGGCTCTGCGCCAGACACATTGAAGATGTGAATACTAAACCTCAAAACTCAGGAGTTCTTTAGTGGCCTAATGGTTAAGATTTGGTGATTTCACTGCCTTGGCCCAGGTTCAGCCCCTGGTTAGGGAACTAAGATCCTGCAAACTGCACAGACAAAAAAGAAAATTTTTTTTTTCAGATAGGCAAAGGCTCAAATATTTTATTTCCTCGTGCACCTCGTCTTAGAACGCAGTGGAAGGCTCTACCAAAATAAGTGAATAAACCAAGAGAAAAGAAGATATTGCATCCAAGAGATGGGAAATCCAGCCCAGGAGGGAAGAAGAGGGACTCCTCAGGGTGATGGAGTGGTGGCCTGGAGTGATGGCTACGCAGCAGAGGGACTCCCAGCTCCAGGAGAGTCTTCTCCAGAAAGAATCTGATGGGGTTCTCAATGCCTCAACACATCTTGGCAGGAGATTTTAGACGGCTGAGAGAGTTTGGGGTTGACCTAGTGTGAAGGTGTTAAAACATAACAAACAATCATAGAAGACAGTTGTTATCTGTAGGGAAAATTGGTCGTGGGAAGGAAAAGTTTCTGTATCCACCCATCCATGTCTGTGACTAGTGTTTACTTAAGTCCCAGCACCATCAGCCTGGAGTCTGATCAAAATTAAGCTGTTGATATGTGGAAAGAGTGGAGAACCAGTAGGGGTGGGTTCAGCCTCCCCTTCCTTGACGAGAAGTCAATGGATGTCACTCCAAACTGAAAAATTGACAAGTCGCAATATAAGGATGTCAATTAGAAATATGTAGTCAACACCAAAAACTTCATCATAAAGAGTTAAAGTGCTTCTGGGGAGAGGTAGAGAAACTTCCAGGGCTTTTTAGGGCTTTGGAAGTATTTGACTCTTTATGTATATGTGTGTGTTAGTTGCTCAGTCGCGTCTGACTCTGCGACCCCATGAACCGTAGACCACCAGGCTCCTCTGTCCATGGGATTTCCCAGGCAAGAATACTGGGGTAGGTCACTGTTTCCTTCTCCAGGGGATCTTCCCCACCCAGGGATCAAACCCAGGTCTCTTGCATTGCCGGCAGATTCTTTACCATTTGAGCCACCAGGGAAGCCCCTTTCTGTATATATGTAAACTTAACTAAAAGTTTTTTAAACCATTTTTTTTACAGTAATATTCCTGATTATTGGCCTGTTCTTTGAGTTCTTTTAATTGTGGTAGAATACACATACCAGGTGGGTGGGATGAACTGGGAGATTGGGGTTGACATATACACTGTACACTGCTATGTATAAAATAGAAAACTAAAAAAATAAAATAAAATAGAAAACTAAGAACCTACTGAACAACACAGGAAACCACTCAGTGCTCTGCGGTGACCTAAACGGGAAGGAAATCCAAGGCAGAGGAGATATCTGTATGTGCAGAGCTGATGCGCTTTGCTGCACAGCACAAATTAACACCACATTGAAAAGCAGCTGTACTCCAATAAAAGTTAACTTTAAAAATAAAAAAAAAAATAAAACACACATAACATTTACCTTCTTAACCATTTCTGAGTACAATTCAGTGATGTTAAGTAATAGATTCATGTTGTTGTAGTACAACAGATCTCTTTTATCTCGTGAAACTGAAACTCATTCCTATTAAAACAATAACCCCATTTCCCCTCCCACCCAGCTCCTGGCAACCCCCATTCAAACCATTTTTAAGGATAACATTTATTGCACTCTTGTATGTACCAGATACTGCACGAACAGTACTTAATCCTCATCAGAACCCTTTTGACAGATGAAGCAGAGTTAAAGCTCAGAGAGGTTAGGTAACCGGCCCAAGCTCACACAGCTTGTAAGTGGCAGCGCTTGAACACAAGTCTGTCTTTCTGACTCCAGAGCTGTCGCTCAGGACAGCCTGGGGAAGCACTGGTTATCCATGTGTCCCTCCCAGCTGTCCTCAAGCTCCCTCCATCTCCCCTAAACTTTGCATACTGGAGGGGAGGGGTGGGATGAGCCTGGGCGCCTGTGCCATCTCTGCTCTTCCCACTGCATCCTCCGGACCGGAGTCTCTCTGTGTGCCACCAGGTTGGCGGGACGAAGACTGGCGTGGTGCGGTATGTGGGGGAGACGGACTTTGCCAAGGGCGAGTGGTGTGGCGTGGAACTGGACGAGCCGCTTGGAAAGAACGATGGGGCAGTGGCGGGCACCAGGTATGTGGGTCCCCTGGGCAGGAGGAGGGGTCCTCCTCTGGGGTGGGTGCAGGGGGCGGGGCTGGGGCATCTGGGGGTGCCAGCGCGGAGCGTCCGGTGGCTGTGCCTGATACCAGGTATGGCGGGCTTCCCCTGCGCAGGAGGAGGGGGTCCTCCTCTGGGGTGGGTGCAGGGGGCGGGGCTGGGGCATCTGGGGATGCCAGCGCGGAGCGCCCGGTGGCCGCGCCTGATACCAGGTATACGTGCTTCCATGGCAGCTCATGGAAGCAGGTGGTGGGGCTGTCACTCCCATTTTACAGATTAGATAACCAAGGCCAGAGAGGTCATTTCTCAAGATGACGCAGAGAGTCATCTGTCCCTGTGTTCCCTTCCCTGTGCCACCTTGGCTGAGTGCAGTGGGGGTACCAGAAAAGGAGAGGCAGTGGTCCCTGCCTTCTGGGAGATGCCCTGGGCGACACAGGAAATAATCAGTGCTTCGTGCTCTACAGTCAAGGTTAGGTCACAGCTGGGTCGCAGGTTTCTCAGCATCTCTCATTAAAGGGAATTGGCTGTCAGGAATTCTGGATCGAGAGGATCTAGGACTGTTCCTGGGCCCATTGGGAATGGGAAGGGTGATGTGATGAGTGAAGAGTGTCAGGGGTGTGGGGCTGAGGGGAGGTGGCCTGCGAGCCTGTTTTTGTCCCTGGGCTGGATACTGTGCTCCAAGTGAGGCTGGGACAGCTCTGAGGAGGAAGGTCTGCTAGGCTGGGGGTCAGCCTGAACAAAGACCTGAATGCAGGAAGCGGCGGCATGGCATCGCAGTTTCATGGTGAGCCGGAAACTCTGCGGGACTAGTTCCTTGGTCCCGTGTGGAATCCCTGGCCAGAGAGCTTTTGAGAGAAGATGCTCCAGAGTTTCCATGACAACACTTGCCTTCCTGTTTTCAAGGCAAATGTTTCTCTCAACTTACTCTTGCTTTCAGAATTCAGAGGAAGGTTGGTCAGCATCACCCCTAAGGTGCTTCCTTCCCGTTTCTGCTTCTCCATGCAGGGAGCTCCGTGGACAGAGAACCTTGGCTCTGGGGGTTGTCCAGGGGCATCCAGGAGAGTGGGGTTGCAGATATGGCTGGGGGCCTCTGGTGTGTGAGCAGAGCCAAAGCATCGAGGGCTTTGGAGTCTACTGGGTCCAGTCTCAACTTTGCCATTTAGCCAGCTGTGTGACTGTGGCAGGTTGCTTAACCTCTCTGAGCCTACGTCTCATTTGTGAAAATTGGATAACAATAGAGTGGTTGGGGGACTGACATGAGCATTTTTGAAAGGGATTGGCAGAGAGCAGGTGTTCATCGATTGTTATTCCCCCATCCCCCAGAAATACGTCCAATGGCTGTGCAGAATAGCAGACCCTGCTCACCTCTGTTCCTTTTCTGGGAGTCCGGTCTATTGGTCTTAGGGTATGGGTGATGGGTCCCCAGGGAGGAACCTCTCTCTCTTTGCTGGGCTCTGGAAAGGTGGGGAAGGCAGGCCGGGCTCCAGGCTGTGGGACGGTAATAGCAGCGTGGTCTCTCCTGCCCCTCTAGGTACTTCCAGTGCCCACCCAAGTTTGGTCTCTTCGCGCCCATCCACAAGGTGATCCGTATCGGCTTCCCGTCCACCAGCCCGGCCAAGGCCAAGAAGACCAAGCGCATGGCCATGGGTGTGTCGGCGCTGACCCACAGTCCCAGCAGCTCCTCCATCAGCTCTGTCAGCTCTGTGGCCTCTTCCGTGGGTGGCCGGCCCAGCCGCAGTGGCCTGGTGAGGATGGGGGACTGGGGAGGGCTACCCTGGTATGTGTATGGGGATATGGAGGGTGGGGCCATAGAGATTCAGGTGTCTTCTGACTTACTGTGGCTCTAGGCATCTGTCAGTTTGGAGTTTTTTTCCTTTAAATATTTAATAGAAGTTTCTATAAAAGAACATGGAAACTTGGTAACTTAGGCCCTTAAACTGAGATATACACTTCAGGTGCTAAGGTAGAAGTTTGGAGTTTTTGAACAAAGATGAAAGTGTAAGGATTTCCCTGGTGATCCAGTGGTTAAGAATCTGCCTGCCAATGCAAGGGACATGGGTTCAACCCTTGGTCCGGGAACTAAGATCCCACAGGTCACAGGGCAATTAAATCCGTGAGCCACAACCACTCAACCCACAGGCCACAACTAGAGAGTAGCCCCCACTCACCACAAGTAGAGAAAGCCCGCATGCAGCAACCAGCACCATCGACAAATAAATAATTTTTAAAAAGAAAGTGTACACTTTTGTAACAGAGAAATTGACTTGTTTACATTTATTGTTATTTTTCTATGACTGATGGGTCAGTAGTCTCAAGCCCTTTCCTAGGAATTAAAGAGGGTCATACAAATGCAGAGCAGGTAATACGGGTGGAGGGCAGGCAGTTTAGAAGGGCTGGTACCTCACCTGGGGTGAGGAGAGAAGGTGAGGTTGCCGTGCAGAGCTCTGTCTACACGGGGTTCCTCCTAGTCCAGGAGAGGGTGGCCCAGGTGAGGGACCCCGCCATGAGGTGGAGCCCCAGGGGCTGTAACTTTCCTGGGAGTGGGGAGTTCCCTGGATCTCAAACGTCACGATTCCCTCCACGTAAGTAGGCAGAGTGTCTAGGGCCCTGGGGAGGGGGAGGAGCCGGACCCTAGGAGTCCAGGCACTTGGGCCCCGCGCCCCCCACCTGTGGGGTAACTGGGGGTTGTCTGGCTGGAGCTCCACACTCCTGAGTCCCGCCTGCTCCCGTGCCTCCCTGCAGCTCACCGAGACCTCCTCGCGCTACGCCCGCAAGATCTCGGGCACCACGGCCTTGCAGGAGGCGCTGAAGGAGAAGCAGCAGCACATAGAACAGCTGCTGGCTGAACGGGACCTGGAGCGGGCCGAGGTGGCCAAGGCCACGAGCCACATCTGCGAGGTGGAGAAGGAGATCGCCCTGCTCAAGGCACAGCACGAGCAGGTGGGTGGGCGGGTTGGGGTGGTGGGGTCCCCAGCGGGGTACCGGCGGCCTCCTCGGGCCAGTCTTGTCCATCCCTCATGGTCAGAGAGGAGAACTCGGGGTGTTCTGAGATGCGGGTTACCAACCTCCCCTATCCTCCTGGTGATTTTCCTTCCAGTGGCAGGTCCACATTCCTCCAGAACCTGGATACAGGCTTGCGTATCCTGCTTTTTCCTACTTCCTATAGTGTGAGCAGGGCTTCCCTTGTGGGTTAGACGGTAAAGAAATCTGCCTGCAATGTGGGAGACTGGGGATCAATCCCAGGCTCAGCAAGATCCCCTGGAGAAGGGAATGGCAACCCACTCCAGTATTCTTGCCTGGAGAATCCCAAGGCCAGAGGAGCCTGGCGGGCTACAGTCCATGGAGTTGCAAAGAGTCAGACCCGACTGAAGCTACTGACACACATAGCCCGAGCATGATTTCTAGGTCACGGAAAATTCTTCCCCGTTTGAACGGCTGCATTGCCATCTATCACAGGCTGTGTCCTTACCCACGTGGACTGTTCCCTGCTGGTGTTCACGTGGTTTTCCAATTCCTCACTTTTTCTAAATAATTTCTAATACTAAAATTTTTTGAGGGTACAAATGTCCACATTTCAGATCACGTTTCTGAGCAGATTCTAGGGCTGGGTTTCAGGGAAGGAAGGCATCCCCCATCACCTCGATTCTCCTGTTGTCACGTGTTCCTTCTTCCCTGGCGCTTGTCCCCCACCTGGGAGCTCCCTCCTGGGCCCCTGTCCTCATTTGGAGCCTGGCTCCCGCTTCCCTCGGGTTCTGGAATTATTAAGGCCAAGCTCACGTATGTGCTGTGACAGGGGCATTCACAAGACAGAAGGTCTCATAGGCCCTCAAGGGTGGAGGGAGGGGGCGGGTCCCGGGGGCAGGTGGGCCTCACCCTCACTGGATGAGGCTGGCCCTCTTCCCTCACATCTAGACCCACAGTTCCGGCCTGACTGGGCTGGAAGGGGCGTAGGGGTGGCTGGGATTCCAGGCCTGCCTGCTTGCATCTTCGCTGCCTCTCCCCATCCCTCCCCACCCTGGCTCCCAGTCCCCTGGTAGGAGGCCGACCCTGTCTGGGCCCTCGGCTCGGGGCCCAGTATGTTGCAGAGGCAGAAGAAAAGCTGCAGCGGGCCCGGCTCCTGGTGGAGAGCGTGCGGAAAGAGAAGGTGGACCTGTCCAACCAGCTGGAGGAGGAGAGGAGGTATGTGCCGCCCTGGGCCCTGTCCTAGGGGGACAGTCCCAGAGCCTCATTGAGGATGGCTGGGGACCAACAGGCCCAAACCCCACCTCCACCAACCGTGTACTGGCTGTGTCACCTGGGCTGGTGACACAAGCCCTACAGGCCTCAGTCCTCTCATCTGCAAAGTGGGGTGATGACCCCCATCTCTGCAGGCTGTTGGGAGGACTTGCAAGATCACCCCAGTGAAGCGTCTGGCAACAGCGCTGAGCATATGGGAGACAGCATGTCTGTCACTGCTTTCCTTCCTGACGTGGGGTTCACTGTTCCTGCCCTGCCTGGCTTGTGCAGCATCATGAGAACTCCCAGGGAGGGCAGTTGGGGGGGCACCTCTCACTAGGGAGACATGTACCCCACGTGCGCACGCCGTGACCCAGTTCAGCACAGGGGATACCTGCCTCTGCTCCAGGCAGGTCCTGGCCAGTGGAGTGTGCAGCCTGTGTCCTGAAGCTTCATTTCCATTTCCCGTGTCAGGAAACAGGCTCAGCAGCAGCAGGAAAAGGCCACCGGAAACACGGTGCACCTGGGGGTCAGCCCCCAGGCTGGGTGCTTTACCTGCACCGTCTCTCTGTCTTACAATGAACCCAGGAGGGAAGTATTGCCCCCAGCTCACAGATGAGAAAACTGAGGCTCAGAGCAGGGAAGGGACTCACCTGAGGTCACTAGTCTTGTTAGTGGTGCCGCTGGCTCTTTGTGACCTGCCAGGGTGGCAATTGGGGTTTGTGTTCCCTCCATGTGGGGTCTCTGGGCTGACTTGGTCCTGGAACACCTGGCCGGGCTCAGAGCCCATGAGGGCCAGGGTTTCCTCTGGCCCAGGAGTCTCTCTTTGTCTCCCAGCTGCTGATACACAGGTTTCTGCAGCTTCTCCTGCTCCCCCGTGCAGCAGGCAACCCCCAGCCCCAGCCCCCCACCTCCCCCAACTTGGGTCTGCTCTTGGGCTTTCAGCCCAGGCATGTGCTCCAGGGGCTGTTGTTACTGTCTGACTCCGGGAGAGGAGGGCTTATTTATATCTGCCTGAGACCGTCAGCAGGGCCCACACAACTGGTTCCCATGGCAACGCGCCTGATGCCAACAAACAAAAACAGATCCCTGAGACATAGTGGGAGTTGCGTTCAGGAAGTCCTGGGTACAAGGGCCAGCATTGCCCGGCGCTTGCTGTGTAACCTTGGGCAGGTCACTGGCCCTCTCTGGGCCTCAGTTTCATTCTCTGCTGAGAGTCTCACAAGGCCCCAGGAGCAGCCGCTTTGTGAGCTGTAACGTGCCTGTGTCTCTCCCCGGTGCTCTCTCGGGGGTGGGGGGTGTCCTTGGGGTGGGCCCCACACCTGCAGCAGGGCACTGGGGGCCCTCCACATCAGGGAGCAGCCCAAGCAGTGGGGGCTGGAACTCTGGGCCCTGATTCTGAGGGGAAAGAGGATGGGGTCAGTAGGGGAAGAAGCCCACCCTCCCTCTTTCCCCTTAGACTGTTTGATGCAGCCTATCTGCTCCCTGCTATGATGAAAGCAGAACTGATTCTGCTTCATTTACTATCCATTCTATCATTTATTCCCACAACCACCCTAGAGGGGAAAGATGCTGCATTAAACACAGCTATTTCGCAGGAGAAGGAAGGCTTTACTACTTGCAGCAAGTAAGGAGAACACTGGGGACCTTTCCTTAACCAGTGTCTCCTGTACACTCCTGTTTTAGAGAACTCCATGTTCTCTGTGTAGAGCTTGGACCGGGAAGTTGGGAGGGCTGGGGATTTCCAGGAGGCTCCGCCCCCATCAGCCACGAGGCTCTGGGACGGTACCTTCTGGGTACTCTGAATGTGGACTCGAGGCTTCTTGTGGCCTTGGCTCTCTCTGCCATTGCTGACTTGGCAAAGCCCACCCCTCTGGGTAGGGGTCCCTTATGGTCCTCCCTGATGGTTCAGCGGGTAAAGAATCCACCTGCAATGCAGGAAACACAGGTTCAGTGCCTGAGTCGGGAAGATCCCCTGGAGAAGGAAATGACAACCCACTTCAGTATTCTTGCCTGAAGAATCCCATGGACAGAGGAGCCTGGTGGGCTACAGTCCAGGGGGTCATAAAGAGTCAGACACGACTGAGCAGGAGCATGGACGGACCCCTCTGGGTGAAGCCTGCTCAGCCCCCTCTCCCCCCTGCAGGAAGGTGGAGGACCTGCAGTTCCGAGTGGAAGAGGAGTCCATCACCAAGGGCGACCTGGAGGTAATGGTCAAAGGCCCCCAGACCTTCCCCTAGGCTTGCACCCCAGGCTCAGCCCTCAAAGGGAAAATCGTCATGAGGTCCAGGCAGCAACTCTGAGCCCTGTGGGAGAGGACCATGGGGACGGTGAGGTAGACAAACTGGGGGAGAGTCAAAGGTCATACCCTGGGAGCGTGGGGAGGGGCCAGTCAGGAGAGACTTGGGCATCAGAAGTGGGAATGGCTCAGCTCCAGGAGCCCCAGAGGGGCCACACTTCCCGGGTCAGCAGCTGGGTGGGATGGACCCAGGGAATCCACAGAGCTGGGCCTGAGGACATGGTGGCTGGGCTCCCTGTCCCTTCTTTCTTGGGCGGTATCTCTAAAGGTGTTCCCTGGGCCCTCTGTTCATCTTAAATTCCAGCTAGACCTTTGGCTGGGAATAGTTTGTGGTTGAGTCACAGAATTTATAGATGGGAAAACAGGCTCAGAAAGGCAAAAGGGACTCACCCAGTCATGGTGCATGTCAGCAGCCACTGGGACCAGGACCCAGGACTCATGATTCCCGAGTCTAACCTGTAAGGATGGCCAGTTACAGCACCTCCTCGGTCACAGCACCTGGCCGAGGGGTCTGGGCCCCAGTGGGCCTTTCACTCTCACTCTCCAATCCCACTCACCCTTTCTGAGCCGAGGTGTGGAGGACACTCACATCAATCAGTAAAGCACCTATGGACCCCTGCCACCCAAGACAGACACACAGACACTTGCTCACCAAACCGTCTGGAGTCCACAGGGCTCACTAGGTCTGCTCACAGTTGGGTGGGTTAGAATGCCTTTCTGCCATGACCCTCCCTGCTCCCTGGGAGGTGACAGAAAATGTAGACTCCCGGAGCCATCAGATAAGGCAGAGGACAGTCAGCTCAGTCCCTCTGCACATTCCAGTCCTGACCCTGGTCTTGGGCAGTCATTTCCTCTCCCTGGACCTCCATTTGCTCCTCTGTTAAATAAGGAGGTTGAACCAGGTCAGTGCTTTCCCAGCTTGAGAATTCGTCACCCAATAGGTGTGTTCAGACCCAGAACTCTGGACCCAAGTGGCCATACAGTAGATCTGGATGGGACCCAAGGGTTTGCATTTCTAACGAGTTGCCAGGCGATGCTGACCTGGGGATCACACTTTGGGAATCACTGCCCTGGATCACTTCTGAGCTCCGATGGGAAACTGCGGTTTCTGATTTTGTGAAAGAGCCGTGTTAAAACCCCTCTGACTTCCAGCATTCCGCAAAATTGTACGAATGGCTGTCCTATCTCTGAATGACCCTGGCTGGGGAGGGATGTGTGTGATCTTGGGTCACTGACTGCTGCCCCTGTTGGGACGGATTTTGCTGCCTGAGCTTTAAAGGATGGCTCCTGGGACACAACCTGGTGTAGGAACCCCAGCCTGGCATCCAGTGTTCCAATGTAAATTTCTCGCTTAGCCAAGGGGCCGGTTATGTGCTTGACATTTAGCAAGCTCTTCCGTGGGGTGGCTGCCCTCCCGAAGGGATTGGGGGTGGAGGTCGCTCCCGGGAAAAGCACCTGTGATTGCAAAGACACCTGGTAACTGCTAACTCCAGTCATCACAGGGTGGGGGGCCAGTGGGCGGGTTACTAAACGGCTGCAGGGAACTCTCACAGCACCGAGGGCAGGCAGTTCAGAGAACTGGAAGGAGGAGCAGCATCAGAAAGAGAGTCTCTTCCCCCCTCACTCGCCTCCCTCTTCTCATGACTCGTGGTCAGTCTGTCTGTCTCTCACTGTGTCTGCAGGTCTCTCGACACATCTCCCTTCTGCCCTCACATCCCCCTGCCCGGCCCCTCCCAGGCTCCAGCACTTACTGTCTCCCAGCTGTCCTCTTGAGAGAATCTGATTGGTCCGAGGCTAGCCAATGGGCTGTCTTGCTTTGGATCGGTGTCCACCCCAGATCCAATCAGCCCTGACTGAGAGAGGAGGAGGGTGGGGCAAACGGTGACGGACAGCTAGTTCAGTCCAAGGGCAGTGGAGTCCCATTGCTGCTGTTTCTGTTGTGACCATATTCACGGCAAGCGGAAGGCACATGGACCCAAGTCCCTCTCATGCCCACCCCCATCTGAAAGTCAAAAATAAGCCCCCAGAACACCTTGAGCTCCTCCTAGGACCCCTCCAGCTATGTGACCCCATTTCTCTGCTTGTCCTCCCTCCCCCAAATGTGTGAGATGTCCCATGACAACCTCTCACCACCTTTCTGACCTTGGCTGTTGGCCTGTGCAGGGGCCCAGTCTCAGGCTTCACTCTTGCTGAGAGCGTCCAGGCTGTGGCACTAAATGCCCTGTATAAGCCCACGATTTCCTTGGTTCTCCCCCAAACTCCACACCAGCATACCTGCAGGACATCTCCACCAGGAGAAGCAAATGACAGGCATTTGTAGCACCTTCTGGGGCTGCAGAAAGAAAAACTATCACAGTGCAGCGGCGGCTCGAGACAACACACATTGATGCGCTCACAGTGCTGGAGGTCAGAAGTCTGAAATCGAGGTATGGGCAGGGTCAATTCCATGCCTGTCTCCCAGCTCTGGTAGGATTGCTGGCAGCCGCTGGTGTTCCTCGGCTTGTCACGGCATCCCTGCCTCTGTGGTCACGTGACCTTCCTCCTTGTGTGTCCCTGTGTCTCTTCACGTGACCTTAAAAGGAAGTCATCAGGCCCACTTTAACCCAGGATGCCTTAATCCTAACTGTTTACATGTGCAAAGACACTATTCAAAACAAGGTCACATTCTGAGGTTCTGAAGTAGACAGGAAGTTTGGGGATTTATCATCCAGGGGGCTTGTGTTATTGTTCTGTTGATTAAATAACATATCGCTGTTATTTTTCATTGGCTTGGGAACACCCCCTGTAACAGGAAGAGATGGAACTCAGAATCAGCTGTTGGGAACTGGCTGTGCAGCTTGAGGCCTTGAGGGAGATGAAAAGGGGCGACGAGTTGGGGAAACGCCCTCCCAGCCCCCCGTTGATTGATAACACCAGCCCTCTGTTACCTGAGGGGCGTCCCAAGGCAGAGACTTTGTGTTTTGGAGTAGGGTAGACACTGTGCGTGCAAGGGGAAGAGAAAAAATGGTAGGTCAAGGGCTCAGACCAGGCTTCACCAAGCTTCCGGGATTTGGACAGGGGCAGGGACACAGGGAGGCCCCACTGCTGGAGCCTCCATCACTGCTCCATGTTGCTGCCAGAAGTCCGTGTCTCCCCTCCGTGGAGTCAGGCTTGGTTTGGGGAAGGGCTCCGGTTCTGAAATCCAGACGTCTTGAGTTCTAGGCTTCACGCTGTCCCAGGTTGCTGGGTGATTCTGAGCCTGAGGGTGTCCCGCCGGCATGGCCTGTCTCTCCTGTGAGTTGGGGAGACAGCTGAGACACCGTGGGATAGGTTCTAAAGCTGGTGTGTGAAACAAAAATTATGCCCATGCTTACACCGCCCTTGAGATAAGCGTGGTGGCTGCTGCTCCTCACGCCCTGGGCAGTGTCCTTGGAGCAGAATACAAGCCAGATTGTCCATCTCACTAAAATCTAGCCTTTAGAGGCACTTTCCCTCCCCAAACTCCTAGGACTGAACTTAATTAAATTAAGCAAGCACCTCCTATGAGTTCCCCTGTGTCCACAGGGAGACCCCAACCCAGGGAACAGGAGGCTGAGAGTTCTGAAAGTGACAGAAGGGGGCTTCTGCGGTGGTTGGGGTACCAAATGAAGTTGACCTTGAAATTGTGAAGCTAGAAGCTTTTTCTTGCCCTTGGGACCACCAATATGGTATTTGTGATCAGGCTCTGTCTAGTGCCTGGGGTCGCAAAGAGTTGGACACGACTTAGCAATAGTTACACTTTATTTTTCAATTTGGTGTGGTTGGAATCCCAGGCAGGGTTGCCATGCCCACCATCAGGGGGAGAGAATCAGGGAGGAACATGGTCCCTGCAAGGCTGGGGTTGAGTCACCATCTTTAGCCCTTAACTTTCTGAAAGAGACGGACCATGGCTGTCTTATAGCACTGCACCATGCTGCCCTCTTGGGGGAGAGAGAGAGAGACACCTTTGTTCCTTTAGGAGAACTCACAGGAATGAGATTGGGAGGCGAAGGACATAAAGGTTTCTATCGCTGTTGATGAATTGCGTGCGTGTTTCTGAGATGATTCTATCAGTCTGCACTGTCGCTGTCTCCCTTGCTTGTGTTGGGTGTGTATTCTTGGGTTTTACACAATAGCGCTGTGGTGCTCAGCCTGCCTCCCCGGGAACTGCCGCTCGCTTCTTCTGTCACCTTTGTCTCTCCTTGGTGATGACGGGCTGAGCCGAAGGATGCAGCCAACCCTCTGGCTTCTCCCTGCCGAAAACTTGGGGTCCAGACTTTTCTGGATGCCCTGAGCCTTGAGCCTTCTGCTGCCCCCGCAGATCTGTTGGGGTAAAATCGAAATGCCAGCCAGGATGCCCTGAGAATGTGGGGCTTTGTTAGCGTGTGAAGCGGGTGTTGTGAAGCTGGGACAAAAGTGCCCTTGTGCTTTCGGGAGACCAGGCACCCGCGGCAGGGGGCCCCGGTGAGTGGGCACCGCTGGGGCCAGGTTCGGGGCAGGGCAATGGGAGACACAGCCCGGCCTCCACTTAAGAGGCCGGCTGGGGGAATCATGATGGTGTGGGTGTATTTGAAACCCTTCCTTCCCGTTGGTTCAACCTTCAGGACAGGCCCGGGGACCAGGAAACCTGGGGTCATTTACTCATCCAGCCATCCTGGGGGTTTCCTGGGTGCAGGTATCTGTGCGGAAACGGGCTCTCCCTGATGAGAGGTGGGGAGTAGGTGGGGCTCCTCCCCAGGAGCTGCGAGGGGAAGGGCCACGTGGGGGGGTGACAGAAGGGACCCGGGTGCCCGTTGTCGCCCCATCCAGGGGCCGGCTTGGGCAAGGTTGCTGCAGCCTGTCCTCTGCCCTTAAACAGATCCTGCTGAGGCTCAGCAAGGGGCGGGTGCCTCCCCAGACCTCCTCTCTTCCTTCCACTGCTCTCCTGTCTTGCGCACAGAAGATGACCTGCCTCTCTCTCTCTTTTTTCTCTCTTCCTCCGGCTTCCTTTCGCCTGTGCTCCTCTCTCCTGTCCCCACCTCGCCACCCTCCCCGGGTGGACAGACCCAGACGCAGCTGGAGCACGCGCGCATCGGGGAGCTGGAGCAAAACCTGCTACTGGAGAAGGCGCAGGCCGAGCGGCTGCTCCGAGAACTAGCCGACAACCGGGTAACCGCCGCCGCCGCCGCCGCCGCCAGCGCCTTGGCCCGCCGGCGCCCCCGTCAGCTTCCCTGTTTTATTATTTTCTCTCTCTCTGGCTGCTCTCCTCCCAGTTTTGTTAGGTTTTTGTTTTTCCCTTTTGCATCCCTTCTAGGAGGACAGTGCCGGTTTAAGAAAGTGCTTCTGTGCTCCTCCGCCGTGTGATGCTGGTTGGAGGAGGGGGAGGTCTTGGTTCTCCGGGACTTTGCGCCCCAGCTCATGGTCCCATTGGCCGGGGAAGGTCCTGTGAGAGCCTAACCCATTCCTTGCCCAGACAATGCTCTGTCATGTTCAGAAATTTGGGGCTCTTGGGAACATTCCGCCCCTTGTGTGGACGACCCATCCACCCCTCCCTTCTCCCCAGGCTGGGGAAGGCAGTGGTCGGGGGACTGGGGATCCAAGGTCTTCAATAGGATGGCATGGGGCGGGGGGTGGGGGTTGGGGTGCAGCCTGAAGGACCTGGGGCTGAGGGAGCTGTGGGACTTTGGGGGAGTGGGGGGTCCCCAGGGCATATGATTCTCCATCAGCCCCAGGGTATGAGTGGTTCCTAGGTCAGGGAAAGCTTTGTGTGGGAGTGAGGTCCCCCTGCGTCCCAGGGCACGATCTAAGACCAGTCTGTAAACCCTGCTGGCACCTCCATGCCCACCATGTCCGTCTGGGGCTGGCCACCTACGCAGGTCCACCTCCAAACAGCTGGCCAACCCAGCTGCAGGGCCCCTGGTGATAGAGTTAAACAGCCAGCCGGCAGTGATTGACAAAAACCACTGTACACAGCGTGAGGGTGTGGGGCGGGTGACCACCGGCTTCTGCAGGTTGGCCTCAGCACACAAGTGAGTGTGCGTGTGCCTATGGGTGTCTGCAGACGCACATGGTCCCTGTCAACACGCTGGCCATTGCCAGGTGACTGCGTGTGCAGTGCACGTGTGTACACAGCAGCTGCTTGCAGAAACCAAGTCACAGTTGACAGGCTGAAGCCCTCCACACTGAGGCATCTTCCTCTGGGAAGGGTTCAACCCGACTTAAAAAACCAAAACACATTAATTGAACTAAAGGTCACCTTCAGAAACAAATTCCCTAAGCTTATAAAAGATTTAAAACTCTCAAATATATTATTCTCAAATCTGTGACCACCGACTTGATCAAAGTGGGATTTGGGTAGGTGGAGCCTCTGATCTCAGAGTTTTCCATCAGAAGGTGGGTCTGGGGCCTTTTTTTTTTTTTCTGCATTAGGCATAAAAATGGCAGACCCTTCTTTGGCCACCCGCTCCAAACAGCCTCTCGTGAATCCAGTCATTCTAATTGAGACTTTTCTAGAGCAGGATAGTGCAAATCCCCTCTGTCGTGTCCACCCTTTACGAATAACTTAAACTTGAAGAAAACCATAACCTCAAATAGATGGTTTCCTTTTTTTTTCCCCCTCTTTGTTATTGTTCAGTCGCTCAGTCATGTCCAACTCTTTGCCACCCCATGGACTGCAGCACGCCAGGCTTCCCTGTCCTTCAGTATCTCCTGGAGTTTGCTCAAACTCACGTCCAGTGAATCGATGATGCCATGCAACCATTTTCTTCCTTGGCTGCCTTATTTATTTATTTTTGGCTGCACCACGCAGCACACAGGATCTTAGCTCCCCCATCAGGGACCGAACCTGCACCTCTGGCATTGGAGCATGGAGTCTTAACCTCTGGACCCACCAGGGAAGTCCCCAGATGGTTTCTTTTAACCACGGATTTGTTACAAGCTGGCTAGGGCAGCGGGGAACCATTGAGTCCCTGAATCACTGGGGCCCAAGGCAGGGGGTGGCGCTCAGATGGGGTGGGGCGTCCTCCCCGTGACCTTCCCCTGTCGCGTCCTCCTGCTCCCCCTGCCCCTGCCCCTGGGGGCCCACTGACCCCGGTCTCCCTCTCTCCCGGTAGCTGACCACGGTGGCCGAGAAGTCGCGGGTGCTGCAGCTGGAGGAGGAGCTGAGCCTGCGTCGCGAGGAGATCGAGGAGCTGCAGCAGTGCCTGCTCCACTCCGGCCCGCCGCCCGCCGACCACCCCGAGGCCGCCGAGACCCTGCGGCTGCGGGAGCGGCTGCTGTCGGCCAGCAAGGAGCGCCAGCGGGAGAGCGGCCTGCTGCGGGACAAGTACGAGAAGGCACTGAGGGCCTACCAGGCGGAGGTGGACAAGCTGCGGGCGGCCAACGAGAAGTACGCGCAGGAGGTGGTGGACCTGAAGGCCAAGGTCCAACAGGCCACCAGCGAGAACATGGGCCTCATGGACAACTGGAAGTCCAAGCTGGACTCGCTGGCCTCGGACCACCAGAAGTCCCTGGAGGATCTCAAGGCCACCCTGAACTCGGGCCCCGGCGCCCAGCAGAAGGAGATCGGGGAGCTGAAGGCTGTGATGGAGGGCATCAAGATGGAGCACCAGCTGGAGCTGGGCAACCTGAGGGCCAAGCACGACATCGAGACGGCCGTGCACGTGAAGGAGAAGGAGGGCCTGCGGCAGAAGCTGCAGGAGGCCCAGGAGGAGCTGGCCGCCCTGCAGCAGCACTGGCGTGCCCAGCTGGAGGTGCAGGCCGGCCAGCACCGGCTGGAGCTGCAGGAGGCCCAGGACCAGTGCCGCGACGCTGAGCTGCGCGTGCGCGAGCTGGAGAAGCTGGACGTGGAGTACCAGGGCCAGGCGCAGGCCATCGAGTTCCTCAAGGAGCAGATCTCCCTGGCCGAGAAGAAGATGCTGGACTATGAGCTGCTGCAGCGCTCCGAGGCCCAGAGCAAGCAGGAGGCCGAGAGGCTGCGGGAGAAGCTTCTGGTCACCGAAAACAGACTCCAGGCCGTAGAGTCCCTGTGTTCGGCCCAGCACACCCACGTAGGTGGCCGCCACCCCTCCTGCCCACGGGGCGGCAAGCGGCCCCGGGCTCAAAGGCCTGGCTGGGGGAGGGTTCAGGCGTCTGTTGACCTTTTATTTGCAGCCCAGGGAAGCGTCCTCGTTGCCCGCCCCACCCGGAGCATACCTGTCTGAGATCAGAGGGCACCTGGCTCAGAGGAGGAGCCCCTGGCCCCTCTCTCAGAAGGGCAGCAGGCCTGAGTGACTGTGGGGCCCCCAAGCAGTCTGAGCAGACCTGGCTGGGTCCCCACAGGCCAGCTTGGAGAGGAGTGTCCCTGGGCACAGACAGCAGCCTTCTCCCCAGCTGGCAGGCACGTCCCACTGTGCAGGCTCCCAGGCCTTCCCAGGGCGTTGGTACTGGGAGCTCCGGCACTGGGCTGGCAGAGGTGTGGAAGGCAAACCCTGTCCACCCCTGGGCAGGGGTAAGGGAGTCCCATTTCTGACCCGAGTGCTGACCTCGGGGACCTGAGGGTGGCCCCCTATTTGCCAGTCCCAACGAGACGGAACAACAGTCCGGCAGCCACTTTCCCAAGTGGAGCGGTGAGGTGGGGGAGTGGTCACGGGAGAGGGCTCCGCAAGGCCAGAGGGGTGTGACCCTGGGAGGCTGCTGCCGCCTGTGTCAGCTTTGCTTCAAATCTGGAAGTCCCAGCTGAGCACCCTGGGGGGCCGGGACCCCAGGGTTATGGACGGGTGCTCCCGCGGGGCCAGGAAGGGCCTCTGAGTGGCTCTGGGCAGCACCCCTGGTGCAGGCCCTAGGAAGCCCCATCTCACCTGGACTCCCTTGGGGTCCATATTGACTTCATTTCATAGATGAGCAAACAGATTCCAAAGCGGAGTAGCTTTCCTGGAGTTTCTTGCCCATCAGTGGCAGAGTTCCTGTTGAACCCTACTGCCTAAGGGCCAGAGAAGTACTGGAATGACAAAGTCTTATATGAAGGGACAATTTGCAGCAATGTCATTGCCTCCTGCCACCCTCCCCCCGCCACCTTGAGGCTTGCAGGATCTAAGCTACCCAACCAGAGATCGAACTCTGGGCCCCTGCAGTAGAAACTTGGAGTCCTAACCACTGGACCACCAGGGAAATCCCAAGATGGTTGCCTTTTTATCAGCCCCCATGGTTCTTGAGCTTCTGGTTCCCCTTGTACATTTAATCCAGAATTTAGCATTTGAGCAACCAGTGTTCAGGAGTTCTCCATATAGGAGGTGCCTTTTTGGTAAAAGGAGATCTGTCCATGTCATGCCTTGAGGCCCCACTGCACCAGCCATCTGCCCCCTTCAAACAGGCGGGGGCCCCTCTTAGCAAGTGCCCTCCCAGGACGCTGGGCGGAGTTGAGAAGAAGAGCCGCAGGTTAGCTGTGTGCACATGGCCTGGTTGGTTGCTCAGGGCAAGAGGGTCAGGCCTGGGGCCCCAGGACCTGGACTCCCCTAACAGGAAGGTTGGGGGTTGCTGTGGTTCCACAGGATGGCCTGCTGCCGCTCTGCCACAGACCTCACACCAGGGAGTGGGTGGTGACCTTAGAAACGCCCATTGATTTCCACACACGTGGGACCTTGGTCTGAACCCACATGCCCTCCAGATTCAAAGGTTTAAGTTCAAGGACAATTTGATTTTTGTTCTCATGTGTAAGTATGGGAATTTTTAAAAAAAGTTTAATGTGTACCTCAGTTTCCCTGCAATGTGTAAAAACAAAGACCTAGGGGGCTTTGTTAATCACACCAGACTGGCTGAAGCAGGGCTGGGGATGTATGAGCGGAGGTATGAGGGGCAGGAGGATGGAGGTGACTGCCTGCTCAGCTCTGCGCTGCCCTGATACGCAATGCTAGGGTCTGGCAAACTGCAGGCTCAGGGGACGGCCAGCTTCTCTTGTGCAGGAAGCCAGAAATGTCTGCCAAGAAGCAGCAAGGAGCCTGTTGATGTTTGCCACACAGGTTTTTTTTTCTTAGTTGAGTTTTTGCTTCTTTGCTTCTGGGTTTGTTTTTTAAAGGAAGTGTTAGGTCCCCTGGAGGAGGGCATGGCAGCCCACTCCAGTATTCTTGCCTGGAGAATGCCATGGAGGGAGGAGCCTGGCGGGCTACAGTCCTAGGGTCGCGCAGAGTCAGACACAACTGAAATGACTTAGCACGCACGCACACCGAGAAAGAAGGTAGCGTTTCCTGAAGTCCCTCTGGGAGCTGTCACTGGGTGTTCTCTGCACGCGCTGCCCCATGGCAGTCCATTCTTGTTTTATGGACGGGAAACCGAGGCTGGGAATCTTGCCTCTGGATAATGGTGGAAACAGGGTCCCAGAACCAATCTCCGTAGGCGTCCCCAGGAAGGAGACATCTATTTAATATGATAGACATTTGCAAACAGGAAAGGACAGGAAGGGACCACATGGATGCTATGTAAGCAGCCTTGGGGGGTCCTGGGAGCAGAGCAGGGGTCCCCTTGTCAGGGAAGCCAGACCGAGAACACCTCTGCCCCCTGCTGCAGCAAGTCCATGAAGGTCTCCTTGAATTGGGGAGAGGTGGGCTGGCTGGGGTTGGGGGCCGAGACGGGGAGGTGAGCATCCCCCTTACAGGGCTCTCCTTTCAGATGATTGAATCCAACGACATTTCAGGGGAGAAGATCAGGATGAAGGAGACTGTGGAGGGTGAGTGGCCGCTGGGCTGGGCGGGATGTGGGGCTTTGGGGAAAGACTGGTGGGTTTCCCTCCAAGCTGGGTTCAACTTTGTTTTGCCTCATCTAATGTTTGGTGAAAGCTGCCTGGACTTCCCAGGTGGCACCAGTGGTGAAGAATCCACCATCCAGTGCAGGAGACGTAAGAGACATGGGTTCAATCCCCGGTTCGGGAAGATCCACTGGAGGAGGGGATGGCAACCCACTCCAGTATTCTTCCCCAGACAATCCCATGGACCAGGGAGCCTGGCGGGCTACAGTCATAGAATCACAAAGAGTTGGACATGACTGAAGAGACTTAGCACACACATACAAGAGCCAAAGGGTGTTTATTGAGAACTGGACTGTGTGTTTGGTTTTGTTATTTTTCTTTTTTTCAAGATATTTTTTGATGTGGACCATTTAAAAGTTTTACAACATAGCTCCCCAACCAGGCATCGAACCCACGCACCCTGCTTTGGAAGGCAAAGTCTTAACCATTGGACCACCAGGAAAGTCCCTTGCCATGCAGATTTTTAAAAATCAGTCTTTTATTTTGGGGATCTTGGGTTTATTCTTTTTCTGTGTAAATCTGATTCACGTAGAATTCTTACTCCAGGTGTGAGGTAAGAATCCACTTTTATTTTTTTCCCCAAGAGTGCCCACTTATCCCAGCACCATTTTTGAAAACCTCTCATCTCCCTGTCTCCACTGATTTGAATGAACCAAACTTACCACCTTTAAATTCCATCAGGTAATTGACTTTCTAGATTTTTTTATTCCTTTCCAATAACCTATCTGTCTGTTCATGCACCACTTTTACAGTGTTTTGAAACTTCGTATGTATTTCAGTTACTGGCAAGGCTGGTCTTAGGCTTTTTTTTTTTTTTATTCAAAATTCTCTCAGCTGTTCTTTTTTATTTATTTGGCTTTGCTGGGTCTTTGTTGCAGCATATGGGATCTAATTCCCTGACCAGGGGTCAAACCCCGGGTATCCTGCATTGAGAGCATGGAGTCTTGGCCACTGGACAACTAGGAAAGTCCCCCCTCCCACCTTTTTTTTTTAATTGAGACAAAATTTAAATAAAATCAACCATTTTAAAGCAAACCATTCAGGGGCATTGATATATTCAGAGTGTTGTGCAATCATCTCTTCTGTCTAGTTCCAAAACTTTTTCATCACTCCAAGAGCAAGCCCCATATGCATTATCAGTCATTCTCTTATTTTCCCCTCATCGCAGCTGCTGACAACTGCTAATCTGCTTTCTGTCTCTGTGGATTTGCCTCTTCTGGATATTTCATATAGATAGCATCATATAACACGTGGCCTTTTATGTCTGGCTTGTTTCACTCTGCATAATATATTCAAGGTTCACCCACGTTATAGCACGGGCCGGTGCTTCGTTTCCACGTGTGACCAATAGGCCATCGTATGCGTGTGCCCGATTTTGTCATCCATTCACCTGTCAATGGACAGTTGACACTTCCACCTTTCAGCCGTTGTGAATAGTGCTGCTATAAGTGTGCACTTGGGGGTACTTGTTGAGTTCTGTTTTCAGCTCTTTGAGGATGTATACTCGGGAGGGGAATTGTTAAATTGTATAGTAATTGCAGGCTTCCCTGGTGGCGAAGTAGTAAAGAATCTGCCTGCTAATGCAGGAGACTCAGGTTCGATCCTTGGATCAGGAAGATTCCCTGGAAAAGGGAATGGCAACCCGCTCCAGTGTTCCTGCCTGGAAAATTGCATGGACAGAGGAACCTAGTGGGCTGCTGTCCATGGGGTCGCATAGAGTCAGACAGGACTCAGCAACTGAGCACGCACACCCATGGTAATTGTGTGTTTAATTCTTTGAAGGAGTTTTTTGGGGGGTTTTTGGCAGGTTTTCTTGGCTGATCTTGCTTATTTTTCCAGGTGACTTTGATTTTATTTAAAATTTTTTCCTTTTTTAAAATTTTTATTTACTTATTTAAAAAAAATTTTTTTTCCAAGTGATTTTAGAATTAGCTTATCTAGTTCCACAAAAATTACAATCTGGCTGGCATTTTTACTGGTATCGCATTGAATTTATAAATTAATGTACAGAAAGTTAATACAGTTCTAGAACCTTCCGTGCATCTTTTTCATGACTGTCCTGTGCTATCCAGTATTGAATGCATGTGGCCAAGTGACGTGAGCACCTTTATTAGCCCCATTTTTCACTTGAGGAAGTTGAGAGTCTTGAGAGTTAAGTTGCTCAAGACCGGCACCTCTTCTTCACGGTGGGTTGCCCAGGCTTCCCTTGTGGCTCAGCTGGTAAAGAATCTGCCTGCAATGCAGGAGGCCTGGGTTAGATCCCGGGGCTGGGAAGATCCCCTGGAGAAGGGAAAGGCTACGCACTCCAGTATTCTGGCCTGGAGAATTCCATGGACTGTATAGTCCATGGTGTCACAAAGAGTGGGACGCAACTTTCACTTCACCCAGAAGGTCGACTGGCTTGAGAAAGAACTTGGACTCTGGAGGCCAAGTGTGACGTCATTTTAGGGTTTGGCTGGGAGGGCCACCCCCTTGTCCGCCGGACTGCAGTGTTGGCTCTGGGGTATTGATGGCCCCTCATCTCCCCCTTCTCCCCAGGCCTGCAGGACAAGCTGAACAAGAGGGACAAAGAGGTGACAGCCTTAACATCTCAGACCGAGATGCTCAGGGCCCAAGTAAGTGGTAAGTCTCCCTCCTTCAGCGCAGATGTGGGGGCTTTCACTGGGCCACGTGCCAGTCTAGCAGGGGAGGGGGAGATGACGCTGGCCAGGGTGCCCTTCCCCACTCTGCCCCGAGGAGAAGTCAGCCTGGCCCAGGTGGCACTGGACTTCCATCTGGGCAGCAGTGTGGGGGGAGTGGTAGCCCACACTTCATCTGTAATATAAGTGGGGGCCCCAGGGATTTCCCTGATGGTTCGGTGGTTAGGACTCTGTGCTTCCAATGCAGGGGTCAATAGTTTGATCCATGGTGGGGGAACTAAGATCCCATAGGCCAAATGGCACAGCCACAAAAAACACAGGAGGACCCCAGCCACCTTCTCTCCCCAGAGCCAGGCCTCTGTTCCCTGTGTTCTGTAATTGCATCACGTCTTATCTCTTTCTGGGCTTGAAGACCCCTGGGTTTCAATCTCTCTGCCTTTTGGTATAGTACTTGGGCACCAGCCCCTGGAAGAAATACCAGGATTTCAGAATTGGGAGGGGAAGGACTTTGGCTGCAGCAAAAGACAAGGCCCAGGGGAAATGGGGATGAAGCCAGAGGGTAGCCTGGTGGGGGCGGGAGGCGTGGTAGGGGGCCTGGAATCTGTGACTTGGTAACAAACTGGCCCTGCTTCTTGTCCACCAGAATGCCAGTGGTGGTACCCATGAGTCGGCCCCCATCCTGGGAAACGGTTCTCACCCCCCTTCTCTCCACTCCCCATCACGTTCACGTGGCATAATGGGTCCCAACAAAGGTCAGTTGACCTCAGATTCCTCCGGGGCCAAGGTGAAGTTGTAGATTTCCCTCGTCCAGGCGACACTGTAAACGCCCAGGCCCTGTCTCTCGAAGGCTGGAGTGCTTTCCTGACACCAGAGGGCCCCGCTGCTGTGTGGGGGCCGTGGTCTGCTTTTCCTGAGTAGCTCTTCTCGGCCCCTCGCTGGCTGGCCCTATAGGACGAGAGAGGTCCGCTCAGTGAGCGTGTCCCTGTTAACACCCCCGTTTCCCCGGGAAAGCCTGCTCCCCGCCCGGGCCTTGGCCCCCAGGTGGGACAGGTTCCCGTGGCGATCCCAACCCTCTCCCTCCTTGCCCTGCCGGCTGGCCTCAGCACTGGAGGGCAAATGCAGGTCAGGGGAGAAGAAGGTGGACACCCTCCAGAAAGAGAAGCGGCGCTTGGAGTTGGAGCTGGAGGCCGTGTCCCGGAAGACCCATGATGCCTCGGGCCAGCTGGTCCTCATCAGCCAGGAGCTGCTCCGGAAGGAGCGGTGAGTCAGCCGTGGGCGGTGGTCAGACCAGCGTGACCCTCACTGCACCCAGCTAATAGCACCCAGTGTTTTTTGGAGGCGAGCCAGGGAATAGACCTGGTGGACAGATGACTGGCATCACCAGTGATCACCATACTGTCTGCTGTTAAGCTCCAACGAAGCCTCAGAATCCTTCTTAACACAGTTCTCCAAGCAGAGCTCATAGGAAAGATTAGTGGTTCTCAAATATCTTGGTCTTGGGGACCCCTTGAAACTCTTAAAAATTATTGAGGACTCCCACCTCCTCTGCCTTGAAGCCCTCCTTGGTTGATGTAGGTTACCATGAGCTGCTCCTTGCTTCTTTGGTACTTAGGATGGGAGTGGGAGATCAGCTAGAATGTGTTGGCAGATTAAATGAGTAGAGATTTATTTTAGTCACATAACAAGAAATCTGGAGGTAGCTACAGCTGGCATTTGGTTCAGTGGCTCAAGGCACCAATGCCAACACCTTTGTTCTCTTGGGTTCTGTTAGACTCTTCCTCATGGACTTTTCCTCATGGTTGCAGGGTGGCTGCTGAAGCTCCAGCCATCAGGTGCCATCATTCAGCATAGGAAGAAGGAAGAAAGGGAAAGGACAGTGACAGCAAACTTCTACTTTATTCTTAACTACCCATGGCCACCTAGAGAGGGAGTTTTCCCCTCCTCTAAAGGAGATTCTAGCAAGGGGAAGAGCTAAGAAGGGGTATGTCCTTTTTCCCCAGCCTCTGCCCATGGGAGACATTGCTAATTGATCACTGCATTCTTTTTCTGAAACGCCCAGATGTGGCCTCAGAATCAGTCTCACCACAGTATTCCAGGCAGCTACTGCCAGTTACTACCAGAGTTGATGTAGGAAATAAAAGTTATTTGATAGCAGGTATTTAAAATGTCTTGCCCCATGAGCTCTCTTGGATAAATACTTTATTTTTTTATTTCATTTAATTTTATTATTACCTTAAAAATGTATTTTATTGGGACTTATCTGGTGGTCCAGTGGTTAAGAATCTGCCTTGCCGTGCAGGGGATACAGGTTTAAGCCCTAGTCGGGGAACTAAGATCCCATAAACCGCACAGCAGCTAAGCCTGTGTGCCACAACTAAGACCTGATGCAGCCAAATAAATATATAAATATTTTTAAAAATAAGTAAATAAAATAAAAAGTAGTTTTTGGAAGTTACACTTATTTATAACATTATATAAGTTTTGTGTATACAATATTATATTTCCACTTCTATACTATTTTTAATTAAACAAACATTTTATTCTCTTTTAAAAAAAAAACTTCAAAAAAATTCTAAGAAAGGCTGAGTCCCCTTGACTGTCCAGTTCCCAAACCCGAGTCTCTCCCCAGCTGTGGTCAGATGGTTTCAAGCCTCATGCTTCCTCTCTGGCCCCTCCCGGCACAGATGCTGTGTCTTAGTAGCCAGTATCCCACTGGGGTGGCCAGTCCCAGGCACCTGGCTAATTGTGGAGCATGAGAGATGAGGTACCCAGGCTGACTGCTGTTCTATGCACCCCCACCCCGCTCCAGGAGTCTGAATGAACTGCGGGTATTGCTGCTGGAGGCCAATCGCCATTCCCCGGGGCCTGAGAGGGACCTGAGCCGTGAGGTCCACAAGGCTGAGTGGCGGATCAAGGAGCAGAAACTCAAGGATGACATCCGGGGCCTGCGGGAAAAGCTGACCGGGCTGGTATGTGGGGAAGGGGGCGGCCTGGGGATGGGGGACACCAGGGAGGGGCTGGGGTGACCTGCTGTCAGGCCATGGAGATTGGTGACCTCCTGCAGCCACCCCAGGGACAGCCAAGTCACAGTGAGGGTTTGGAATCCCCTAGAACCACTGGTAGGGTCAGCAATATGGCTGGTGGAAGGGCCATGAGAGGCCCCTTTTGTAGATATCATGGCTGGTTATGTGGCTGTCTGGGTGATGTAATGCAAAGGAAGATTTCCTAAGAATCTGACCAGTCCAGAGGTGGGGTGGCCTACTGCCAGGTGGTGAGCTCCCCATCCAGGGAAGTAATCAACCAGAAGCCAGCTCCTTGTTCAGGGTCCTGCAGTGGCGATTCATGCATCCATCTCAGGGACGAGAGGGGAACAGAGGCCTGACTGAGTGGAGTCCCCAGAAATGCAGGTGGGGTAGGCTGGTAGCGCAGGATAGAACCATCCCACTCCATCCCCCATTGGTCAGCATTCAAGACAAGCCTGTGGCAGGTTCCTGGGCCTGGTCAACTCCAGGGTGTGGACAGGTTAGGTCCAGGAGGACAGGATTGCTGTCAGGGGAAGCTGCTCCAAAGCCCCTCGCTGCCCACCCGCCCAGCCACAGGGGTTCAGCCACAGTGGAGGAGATGGAGGAAGAGGGGCCTCGCAGGCAGGAGGAGAGCCTAGGACCCGCCTGCTGCTGTGGGAGCAGCCCTAGACCTGCAGGGTTAAGGGGCGGGAGGGGGGGAATGTCCATTATTCTGTCTGCACTGAGATTGTGGGCGTGGGGACCACTGGGCCTTTCAGTCCTGGCAGGTCTGCCCAGCAGAGAGTGGTTACAGACCCCTCTGTGGTCCTCATGGTGCTGTGAGCCTGGGCGTAACTTGGAAACCAAGACCCTGGGGCTAGTAGGGACTTGGGAGTTACCATTCCAAGTCTTTGCCAGAGCTGCATGGAGGGGGCAGAGCCACGCTGTCTCCATGAACCACAAGCTGGTCAAGTTTACATGTGACCAGCCTCTGCCCTGTCCCCCCTGTACCGTCCCCAGCACCACAGTGAACTAGGGATGGGCTTGGTGGTTAGAAACCTCCTGAAGTGAGGGAGGTTTGATGGAGAAGGAGGCTTAGGGTAGAGGATCCGAGCAGAACCGAAGGACCTAGAAGCACCCGCCCAAGGAGGGCAGTGCAGGGAGGGTTTGTTGTCTGCCTGTCTCCAGTGCCGTGGTGGGCGGGGTCAGCCGCGGAGCATTTGGAAGGGAAGAGAAGGAATGTCCTATTGAGGCAGGCGGTGGGGGCGTTTTGAGGAGGGGTTCAGGGGATGAGGCTGTGGGTGGTCTAGGGGTGAAGAGGAAGGACCCAGGTAAGACAGTGTGGAGGGAGTCGGGGGCATGCAGGAAGGAAAGAAGGGAGGGAGAGGTCCTAGATTTGGAAACTTGGAAAACATGGAGCATCTGATAGAACCTGGGAATCCAGGGCAGGGAGCAGGAAAGATGCTTCTGTGGGGACCCTCAGGTGAGGGAGGGAGGCTTGAGGGGCATTCTGCTGATGCCCAAGGCTGACCCAGAGATGACGTGAGATAGACAAGTTTCCTGCCCAGAGGAGAGGTCACCCTCCCGCAGCACATACATGCACACACACAAATGCATGCACGCACAGACACACACACGTGCATGTGCACACACACACACGCTCATCCTCTCTCCTGCTGCTTCCAGGACAAAGAGAAGTCCCTGTCGGATCAGAGGCGCTACTCCCTCATCGACCCGTCCTCATCCTCGGCACCGGAGCTCCTGCGGCTGCAGCACCAGCTGATAAGCACGGAGGATGCGCTGCGGGACGCGCTGGACCAGGCTCAGCAGGTGGAAAGGCTCGTGGAGGCCATGAGGAGCTGCCCCGATAAGTCCCAGGTGAGCTGGGTGCCCCCCAGATCTGGGGTGAGAGCCTCAGCCTTGCCCCTGGAAGTCTCAGCCCAAAGGGTCCATGGCTTTATCCTGAGGAGCTCAGACGAAAGGTGGAGATGCAGCCTTGCCCTGAGAGCCTAGATTTCCCCATTTTGATGGGCTCTGCTCAGAGTTCCGGGCTTCCCAGGTGGCGCTGGTGGTTAAAAAACCCACCTGCAATGCAAGAGACACAGAGACACAAGTTTGATGTCTGGGTTGGGAAGATCCCCTGGAGGAGGGCATGGCAACCCACTTCAGTATTCTTGCCTGGAAAATCCCATGAACAGAGGAGCCTGGCGGGCTGTGGCCCATAAGGTCGCACAGAGTCAGAGACAACTAAAGTGACTTAGCGCTCACATACACACGCTCCGAGTTCAGAGACTGAGACGGTCCTGTTGGGAAGGCCTCGCCATCTAGTGGACGAACCAGGAAATGCTGGCTGGTGAACCTCGCTCAGCCTCTCGCCCTTGACTCTTTAACAGGCCATCGGCAATTCCGGTTCTGCAAACGGCGTCCACCAGCAAGACAAGGCCCACAAACAAGAGGTAAGGGGCACCCTGTCCCCGGGGGGGTTTGCTCCGTCACTCCCACGGCCCTCGCGTACAGGCTGATTTCTCCGGAGAGGAAACTTTGAAAAGGCACCACAGGTACAAAGACACATTTTGCAGGAGCCTTTGAGTCACTCATAGAGGAGGGACCGTGGAGTCAAACTTGATTCAGTTCCCATCCTGCTCTTTTAACCTTCCTCTTTCCAAAAAAACCTTTTATTATAAAATAATATGTGCCTATTGGGAAACTTTTGGGAAGAAACTCAAAAATACATAAGGAAGAACACATTGGACATTCCCTGGTGGTCCAGTGGTTAGGACTCCACATGTCCATTGCAAGGGGCACAGGTTTGATCTCTGGTCAGGGGACTGAGGTCCCACAAGCTGTGCGGCGTGGCCAGAAAAAACACACTCACTAGTAGTAGCTCTTCTACCCAGAGATGACCAAGGTTGACATTTTTAAGTGACACAGCTCCTGAACTTTGCTCAGCATGCACGTGTGTGTATGTGTATGTGTGTCCACATGTACAGCCAATCCAAACTATTCCCTGTTTGCAAACTCACCTGCTTGGTAACATTTATCTGTAACCCCAAACTCCACACTGACAGCACTTCTGTGGTCATTCATGGACACGTGCAGAGCAGAGAAAAATGTTATCACCTGAGACACGGCATGTTCCCAGATGAGTTTGTACAAAGCAGCGTGCTTGTGCTAACATTCTGCAAACAAGTGTCCTTTTCACAGTCTACTTAGTGACACGTTTCTCACATTTTCATGCTTTTTTTTCTTGGTGATTTCCACTGTTTAAAATGGCCCCCAAGCGTCATGTTGTGTTCTAGAAGAGCCATCTAGTGTTCCTAAGTGAAGCAAGGCTGCAATGTGCCTTCCAGAAAATACTTTAGAGAAGCTCCATTCAGGCATGAGTTATAGTGTTGCCGGCCTTGAGTCCATTATTAATGAGCCAACAAGATGAATTCAGTGAAATGCTTTAAACAGAAGCACGCATGAAACATGGTTACCTGTTGATCGATAGATGAAAACGTCAGATCAGAGATTTGCAGGAACCTTGTATTTGCACTGGGAGCAATCGTTCAGTTTTTGCTAGTTTCATGACAGTTTGATTCTGTAGAACAGAACTCCCGCAAATCATGAAGATTGTTATATGTCTGTAAATGTATGTACACATTAATTTAAAAAAAAAAATGTCTTCCTGGTAGCTCAGACTGTAAAGAATCTGCCTGCCAATGCGGGAGAGCTGGGTTCGATCCCAGGTTGGGAAGATCCCCTGGAGAAGGAAATGGCAACCCACTCCAGTACTCTTGCCTGGAAAATCCCATGGACAGGGGAGCCTGGCAGACTACAGTTCATGGGGCACAAAGAATCAGACATGACTGAGCGACTAATACATATAATTGACATAATCATACTTTTTTTTATAATTGTATTTTTAAGATTTTTTTTAATGTGGATCATTTGTAAAGTCTTTATTGAATTTGTTACAATATTGCTTCTGTTTTATGTTTTGGTTTTTTGGCCCAAGGCATGTGGAATCTTAGCTTCCTGACCAGAGATTGAACCTGTACCTCCTGCATTGGAAGGCAAAGTCTTAACCACTGGACCACCAGGAGAAGTCCCTATACATTCTTTTTATTTAGAAATAATTTTTAATTGACAAAAAAGTTACAAGAGTTAAAAAAAAGCACCTCGAGGGACTTTCCTGGTGGTCCAGTGGCAAAGACTCTGAGCTCCTAGTGCAGGGGGCCCCAGTTCGATCCCTGGTTGGGGAACTAGATCCCACAGTTAGAAAACCCCACAGGCTGCAATGAAGACTGAAGATCCCTCATGCTACAACTAAGACCTGGTGCAGCCAAATAAATAAATATGAAAGTGACAGTGTTAGTTGCTCAGTTGTGTCTGACTCTTTGTGACCCCATGGATTGTGGTCCCCCAGGCTCCTCTGTCCATGGAGTTCTCCAGGCAAGAATACTGGAGTGGGTTGCCATGCCCTCCTCCAGGGGATCTTCCTGACCCAGGAATCGAACCTGCGTCTCCTGCCTTGCCAGCGGATTCTTTACCACTGAGCCACCAGGGAAGCCCATAAATACCTATACACAGATACAAACTAAAACTAAAATAGCACCTAGAGCATCAGCTCTCCTTCCCCCCATAACACGTGGTTAAGATTTTGCCCCATTTGCTTTACTTTTTGTTCTCTATGTGTAGATGTGTGTTATATGCATGTAATATTTTTCTGAACCATTTGAGTATAATTGCATATTCAGTCCATATTCTCTGAGAAACAGGGCATGATTTTACATAAACACAGTACAGTTATCAGTCTCAGCAAATGTCATGCTGTTATGAGATTTGTTAATGTAGCCAGTCATACTCCCTACCTGTTTTCTTCATTTGACCCTGGAGTGTCTTCACGGCTCTCTCCCTGCGGGTCCAGTCTAAGGTTAGTGAGGCTCATTGCATTTACTTGTTATGTCTTCTTTAGTCTCCTTGCATCTGGAACATTTCCTCCATTTCACTTGGATTTTTATGGCATGGCATTTTTGAAACACCGTCCCTCCCTTGACTGTCCTTTGGGGTGATTAGAGCCCAGTTCTGCAATTCAGGCTGAAATACTTGGTCAGGGTCGTGTTCTTCTCCAGGCATCACGACTGGGGCACGTGATGTCCATCTGCCCTTCATTCCAGGTGTGAATCTTAATCACCTGGTCAAGGTTTGTCTGACCCCTACTGTATGGTTACTGGTTCTTTCTGAATGAACGTTGAGTGGAGACCCTGGAAGACCTTGTGAATTCTCTGTTCCTGACTCAAATGCCCCCTGGATTCATCATCAGTCTGTGAATCTTGCCTGAGCCGTCTTTATTGTGATGGTTGCAAAGTAGCACATAAATTATTTTGTTTTAATTTTTTTGGCCATACCACACTGCTTGTGGGATCTTGGTTCTCCAACCAGGGATCTAACTTGGCACCCTGCAGTGGAAGGGTGGAATCCTAACCTCTGAACTGCTAGGAAACTCCCTAAATTATGTAATGGAGTAGATAGCCTGCTCCAACTCAACGAATATGAATTTGAGCAAATTCCAGGAGATGGTGAAGGACAGGGAAGCCTGTTGCACTGCTGTCCATGGGGTCACAAAAGAGTCAGATGCAACTTAGCACTGAACAAGAACAAAGCATGCTCTAATATTCAATTTCACCTCCTGGTTTTTTTGCAACTGAATATTTTAAATGTATCATCTTCTCTCTTTCTTAAGCAGTCTCTGTAAAAGAGAGTTTTATAAAATTGTGGGTGGAAAATTGATTTCCCAGGACTTTCATGGGCCTGACTCCCTTGCTGGGAATGTGTTTTGCTGGGTTCTGTATTAAGGGGGTGTCTGGTGGCCCACCCCCCACAGTTAGCTCCTGCTATTCGCCTGCAGTGTTAGAGAGCCCACCTGGGGTCCAGGTGCCAGCCCAGTTAGGCTCTGTCTCTGGCTCCCTGTATGGCCTTGGGCCAGTGCGACCTTGGGCTGAAGGAAAGAAGGCTTGTCCTTCCAACTCAGCTGATGGAGCCATGGCTGCAGGCACTCACCTGGAGACCAGAGAACCCTGGCCACAGCATCTGCTGAGGGCCTGGCCCTGGGGGTGAGAAGCAGAGAGAGACGGGTATGGGGAGGTGGGGGCCCCACACCAGACCTGAGAGCAGGGTGGAGGCAGGAAGCTGTAGCAGGACCTGTTGGGGTTGTGTCTGCAGAGGAGCCGCCCGTACCCGGCCCCTTGGGGTTTGATGACCAGACCTTGTATGGCTTTATCCTGCGAGGCACACGGAGATCATCCCAGTTTACAGATGTGAAAACTGAGGCTTGGAGTCTCAGCACCAGTTTTCCTTTCCTCGGATCCAGCCTCCACGCAGGCCCTCGGAGCTCTTTGTAAATCGTGCCTGCTCTTTCCTCTTCCCTTCAACTTCCCATAAACCGCTCCCACCCTGCCTCCTGTCTCGCTGTGCCCCAAACACTCAGCACGGAGAGTGCTCCTGCCTCAGGGCCTTTGCACATGCTGTTCTGGCACCGGCCAGTTCTCCTCCCCCAGCCCTGCCCCCCTCCCTCTGCCACTTGCCCCTGGGCCTCCTGAGACCCTTGCTGACCGAGCTTTTGCTTTCTCCAGGACAAGCACTGATCCTGACGGACACTGTGGCGTGGCCCAGTCCAGACCAGAGCCCCTCCAGCCTGCCCCGGCGGCGCCCCCTCCAGGCAGGGGGCAGGACTGTCACTTTGAAGACAAGAACAGTGTTTGTAACAATGACGTACCCACCGCCGTGGACAATCCCCCACCCCCGACCCCCCCTGCCGGACCAGGAGGCTTCTTCAAGCACGACCTTCCACGGAGAGCGGTACAGGCCTGGCCTGGCCCCTGGGACCTGCAGCCTGGGCGCCTTGGACACCCGGCAGTTTCTGGTGTTGGCTTGGGGAGGCCGGGGCGATCCCAACAGGCCCCTCTCCCCAGGAGGCACTGCCCTGAGGACCGTCTTGGCCCCTGGGCATGTCCCCATTCCCTTTCTTCCCTTCCTTCTCCTGCGGGTCCCTCTCAGACCCCCGAGAGCCATTGTCCTAGGAAGGGGCCAGAGGAGGGCCCCAGCTTCCCCTTCAGGCGCCAAGGAGAGAAGCCCCGTCATTAGGAGGCAGGAGGTGACCCCCTTTCCTTCAGCCTCTTCCAGACTAAGGCAGTCCCCAGGGCTTCTTGTCCCCACACACGAATGAGCCTCTTTCAGATGGTGGTACAAGTTTCCCTCAGCCCGTCTGCCCAGCAAGGCCCCAGGTTCAAGGTGCTGGGACGTGGGCCTTCGTTTCGACCCCAGCGCACACGCAGCTCCAAGCGGCTGATGTCCAGAGGGTAGTCCCCAAGGCCAGAAGCCACAGTATTAGGAAAGTCTGGAAGCCCCTTTCCTTCACCAACCCATCCCCAGAGACCTGGCTTCTTGGAGCTGGGGCAGGGAGGCCCCAAACCAGCTCTTTGGACATGTTTTGACTGGTAGGTCATATGCAGTCCCCTGGGTTGACTTGATGTTACAAAACTGGCCTCCCACCGGCAGATTCACCCATGCAGACCCAGACATATACACCTTCTGACCCTCGCCACAGGCACACTCAGAGGGGTCACGCATGCACACATGCCGTGTGGGTGGGATCTTTGCAGTCAGTCACGGTCAGACCACATGGGCGCTCAGGCTCCAGGATTGAGCCCCAGGCCTGGCAGGGCCGCGACTGCACACACTGCACATGTGCCTGCAGCCTCGACATGCACAGAATCAGCCAGGTACACGTGGGTGAGCCTTCAGGGAGGCGTGGCCACGTATGCGCATCAGAACACCCAGCCCAACAGCCCCCTTTCAGTGGTACAAGGCGTCTGTCTGGGGCATTTTAAGTCCTGTCTCCTGTAGCCAAGAAAAGAACCCAAGGATTGATTGGGGAAGAAAAATCTCCCCACCTCCCCTCAAGCCTGCCAAGTTACTCCAGCCTCATTTGTGATGGGAAAGCCAGCGTCTACCAGAAGCCCCACCTCTAGAGCCGGGAGACCCACGATGGTTGCCTTGCACTGCAGCATCTCCGTGGAGGCCTGCCCCACCTCCCCCAGCTTAGGGGCCTCTCCCCCTAGGGGTAGAGGGGGTGCCCGATGGTCCAGCACAGTGTTCCCCAGTTGCGCCAGGACAGGTATGCAGGTAGTGCCCAGGTCACCCCTGAGTGCTCCCAGGTACAGATGGGTGGTCTTCACATCCTTGTCCCAAAGCAGCCCACCCTGGGGGCGGCCAGTTAGTCCTATCGGCCCCTCTTTGCTCCCCGTTGGCTTTCGGTAGCTCTTGCATGCGGTTTCATTAACAACGGTCTAGAAGCAATGCTGTAGTGGCTTAACCGAGTCAAATACTACTCTTTCCAGCAAAATCGGGCAGCTGCCCTGCCCACTGGAGGCACTGATTAGTCTACTAACAGCCAAAAGCCCACTCTGAGAGGAGCTGAGCCCCCCAGGATGGGCTGGCAGGTGGCAAGCGCTTTCGCCATGGGCATCTGCGCCTGCCCAGTGTATGCTCAGCCGTGCCCCTCCCCAAGCCCTCCTGCACCCTCCCCTTCCCTTCCCCAAAGTGGAATTGTTGAACTGTGGCGAGTCTGTGCTCGAGACAATAAAGCTTGTGACTGAGGCCCAGGACCCCTGCGGTTTCCGCTTCTCTCTCTGTGGGCCTCCTGGCCTCCCCCAATGTCTCCTAGCTCATGAACACCCAGGTGCCAGGAGTCTGACTTGATCCTGTTCCTGGCTAATTCTTACTCAAATGTGAATGGCTGATAAGGGCCTCAGGAGGTCTGGTGTGGAACTGAGCTGCCTTGTCCGAGAAGAGGGAGCTCAACAAAAGTGGCAGAGAACCAGAGAAAGGGGGCACCCGTGGAAGTCAGGTGAGGCTGCCAGAGAGGCATGAGGGTTTGGATTTGAATCTGTTGAAGATGTAAGTGGGCCCACAAGGAAAAATCGAAGTCTCCCCTGTACAGAATAGTGATGGATTCAGCTAACAGATTGGATGAGTTCAGTGAGAACGCTTAAGACAGCTAATGCTGTCTCCTGCAGTAAGATGTCTTTAGATCATGTAGTCACTGTTTTGCCAGCTTTATGGTCATTTTGCAGGCTGTGCAATTGAGGGTCCCTCCCACCCTCCACCCCTCACCCCTCTCCACAGAGACCAAACAAGGTTAACAGCTGAATGGGTCCAGCTATGTGCCCTTTCTCGGGCACTGCATCAGCAGAGTCCTGGAGGAAGCAGTGACACTGCAGTGGGGGAATGAGAGTTTAAAAGGAGGGGCTGTGTGCTCGGGTGTGGACGGGGACCCACAAGGGACTCAACTGCAGAGAGAACTCCAGGGGGCAGTGTGGCCCGGTAGGGAAGGACTAAAAAAGAACATGACAGCCGTGTCCGACTCTGTGACCCCCATGAGCTATACAGTCCATGGAACTCTCCAGGCCAGGACACTGGAGTGGGTAGCCTTTCCCTTCTCCAGGGGATCTTCCCAACCAAGGGACAGAACCCAGGTCTCCCACATTGCAGGTGGATTCTTTACCAGTTGAGCCACAAGGGAAGCCCAAGAATACTGAGGTGGGTGGCCTACCCCTTCGCCAGGGGATCATCCCGACCCAGGAATCGAACCAGGGTCTCCTGCATCGCAGGTGGATTCTTTACCAACGGAGCTATCATGGAAGCCCTAGGACAGTTGCCGCCTCTCTCTCAACTCCTGCCCCTGCCTTCTGCCGACCCCTCCCATTGGCTGAACCTCTGCCGACCCATCCCATTGGCTGAACCTCTGCCGACCTCTCCCATTGGCTGAACCTCTGCTAACCCCTCCCATTGGCTGAACCTCTGCCGGCCTCTCCCATTGGCTGAACCTTTGCTGGCCCCTCCCATTGGCTGAACCTCTGCCGACCCCTCCCATTGGCTGAACCTTTGCCGGCCCCTCCCATTGGCTGAACCTCTGCCGTCTCCTCCCATTGCTGAACCCAAGGCAAGGGAGCCTATTGGAGGCTGTGTAGGTCATTCCCTGGGGGCACAGCCAGGCTGGAGATGGGGAGGCAACATGGGGACTAATGCAGCAATCGACAGTGTTCACCAGAGGCAGATTGGGGGTGGGTTTTGTTGTCTTTGGGTTTTGTTTTTGTTTCTTTGCTGGTTTTTTTTGTTGTTGTTTTGCCGTGCAGCAGCATGAGGTGTTTGGCGAAGGTAAAAAACCTGGTAAGTGACTGAAATTCAAAACCAGACCGTCCAATTCTTTTGTGGGTTTTTTTGTTCTGTTTTCTTTGCTCTGACCATGCTTCTCAGCTTGTGGGATCTTAGTTCCCCTACTAGGGATCGAACCCTGGCCCTCGGCAGTGAAAGCACAGAGTCTTAAACACTGGACAGCCAGAGAATTCCCCAGACCGTCCAATTCTTAAACCTGCTCAGGTTCTTTGCATGTCCCTGGGATCCCTGACCAAGGATCGAACCCCAGCTCCCTGCAGTGGAGGCTCAGAGTCCTAACCACTGGACCACCTGGAGAGTCCTGAGGCTGGATTTAAACAGCACCCAATTCTTAGGCTTCCGCCGCCTCAAATATAAATGGTCTCTATTTTTCCAGAACTCATCATACCAGTATTTTGGAATTCAGAGAGCTTCTGCAGAAAGATTCTTTCTTCTGAGACCAAACACCAGTGTTACTTATGTGGTTTTCCGCCATTTTACCTGAGGCACTGGGTTGGCCCTGTCCCCTGCCAGGTGATGACACTGAATGGGTCACTCTCCCCAGAGTAAAGCATTTCAGGGACTAGTTTAACCTTTGGTGGAAACGCTGGAGGCTTGTGGTCCAAGAAGAGTGAGATCCCCACCCACTCATGGCTCCCAGGCCAGCAGTCAGCGGAACCCCATGTTAACTGCTTTGAAGAAAGGATTGTGAGGGGTGGCAGGGAGGGACTGTCATGGGGAGGGTGAGGGGCCTGGTGTCTCTGGCCCTTACTGCCACCAGAGGGTGCATGGGACCTGAGGCAGGGTGGACAAGGGCTTGAATCTCATGAAAGGAGCTTCCTGAGTCCCTGTCTGCCCAGGGCTTGGCATCCAGAGGTGGAGGATGGAAGGAGGGCACCTGAAGCAGGATGAGGGGGGCCCTCCACCATCCAAGCGGTGATGAAAGTCTGCCTCACAGAGCCCTGCCCACAGGGTGCTCAGAGCCTGGGGGGGTGGGTAGGAAGCCCCAGGGCTGCAGCTGTGGGGGATGGGCAGCTTCAGAGAGGTGGCTACAAAGTCAAAGCCCAGGAGAGCAGCCTGGAACCCTTCAGCTGGTGGAGGGGGTGAGAGGAGTGGTCTCTGACCGCATCACCCTGGAAGAGACCAAGCACTGGGCACTCCTGGGGTTCAACCCAATCCCACAACCTCTGACTGCGGGCCAGGCTCGTTGCTTCACTTCCATGAGTCTGTTTCTTCATCTGTAAAATGGAGAACATAAAACCAATCTTGTGCACCGTGGAGTCTGAGTGAGTCCACAGAAACCCTTAGGTTAAAGGCTGCCCCGGTGGTTTTCTTCACTCTCCCATCCAAGCAGAAAAGTTGCTCCTTCTCCATCTGCCTCTGGGAGCCCCCACCCCTGGCTTGCTGGGCCCTTGGACAGTCCAGTTTAGAGGCAGCAAGAGTGCTTCCCCCAGGGCCAGGTCTGGGGTATGGTGGGAGGGGGTGAGAGCCTGCCACTCCAGACAGAGGGTGTCTCCACACCACCCCCTGAGTCGACTTTCCTAACTTTGAAGTGTTAAAATAATGTCAGCCGTGCAGAAGAATTGAGGGTAGAATTCGCACATGCCCTTTACCAGCTTCCTCTCCTGTTACCTTCTTGCCCGATCATAGGACTGTGATCCAACCAGAACATTGACACTGGTAAGGTACTGTGAACTCAAGTACAGACTTTATTTGAATTTCACTAGTTTTTCCTCTAAATATCCCTGTTCTGTTCCGGAATTCCAACTAGGATCCCACAGGGCATGGATTCATCATCCAGTCTGCAGTTTCTCAGACTTTCCTGGTCTTTCACAACCTTGACACATTTGAAGAACACGCAACAGTTATCTCACCCAATGTCCCCCAGTTTGGTGTTTTCTCAAAATTAGATGCAACCCTGAGGTGATGTGCCCTGTTGGGGTGCCATATCAGGGGTACCTGATTGCATTTGTCTTATTACCAGTGAGGGTTAACTTCGATCACTTGATTAAGGTGATGTGTGCTAGGATTCTCCACCATCAACTTAATCTTTTGTCCATTCGTAACTATTTTGGAGGAAATGCCTTGAGATGATGCAGATGCCCCCTTTCTTCTTAAAGTTTCACCTCTGATTCTTTTCTTTGTATTTTTTGGCCATGCTGCATAGCTTGTGGCATCTTAGCTTCCTGACCAGGGATCAAACTCGCACCCTTGACAGTGAAAACTTGGAGTTGCAACCATTGGACCTCCAGGGAATTCCCTCACCACTGATTTTTGCTTCTGTCTGCAGAGCTTGCCTGCTGTAATTATTACTGTGATATTCCAGTAGTGGTTTTTCAGTTCTCCATTTATTCTGTCTCCATTTATTGACTAGAATTCTTCCTTAAGAAAGAGTTGTTTCTCCCCCACTTATCTATTTATTTATTTCGCTATGGACTCATAGGGCTTCCCTGATAGCTCAGTTGGTAAAGAATCCATCTGCAGTGCAGGAGACCCCAGTTCAATTCCTGGGTCGGGAAGATCCGCTGGAGAAGGGACAGGCTCCCCACTCCAGTATCCTTGGGCTTCCCTTGTGGCTCAGCTGGTAAAGAATCCGCCTGCAATGCGGGAGACCTAGGTTCGATCCCTGGGTTGGGAAGATCCCCTGGAGAAGGGAAAGGCTACCCACTTCAGTATTCTGGCCTGGAGAATTCCATGGACTGTATAGTCCACGGGTCGCAAAGAATCAGATACAGCTGAGCGACTTTCACTTCACTTCGCGAACTCAGATAGTTATGCTGTCATTTGTGTTATTAGCCCATACAATTGCTGTTTACTTTGTTGGTCACATTGTCCTGGTCTTGCCACTGGGCGTGCCTTTTGTTGGCCCCCCCAACTCGCCTGCAGCTCTGGGCAAGGCCTCAGTGTCCTCACTGTACATGGGGAGAACAGTCCTCAGGTGTGAGGGGTCAGGGTCACAAAGGAAATCCTGTCTATGGTGAGTTGGGCAGGGATGGGGGTAGCATTTCTCTGGGTCCCTCCTCCTGGCGGCCTTTAATCTTTGGGAAGATTAAGACTGGGAGCAGCAGTGTTTGGGGTGTGGGACTGAGCTGCTGGGGACTGCAGAGAGGACCGGGGTGTCCCCGCGACACCTCTACCCTGATGTTCACAGCCCTGGGCCTTGGAGAGTAGCTCCCAGGGATGTGCGAAGAACCTGAGCAGGCTTAAGAGTTGGATAGCATGGGGAATTCTCTGCCGGTCCAGTGGCTAAGACTGTGCATTCACTGCTGAGTTCACAGGTTCAATCCCTGATCAGGGAACTAAGATCCCACAAGCTGCGATATGCATTAGTCGCGCAGTCATGTCTGACTGTTTGCAACCCCGTGGACTGTAGCCCATCAGGCTTCTCTGTCTATGGGATTCTCCGGGCAAGAATACTGCGAAGCATGGCCAAAAAAAAAATCCCCAAACAAAGAAAGAATTGGATGGTCTGGTTTTGAATTTCAGTCACTTACCCACTTACCAGGTTTATGACCTTGGCCAGACCCCTAAACCTTGCAGAGCCACATTTTTCCCTCTCTCTTTGATAGGGACAGTGGAATACATCGCATGGGGTGGTTGTGACGATCGAATGTGACATCCTCTCCCCCCAACACAAGTCTGTCTCCTGGAGGAAGCAGGTCTCAGGAACTGGGATTTCTCTTGGCCCACTTCCTCTCTTTACTCTGCCTGCCCCGGGGAGACATCAGCCGGACCCTCGAGGTCGTTTGGGAGGCCTTGGCGTCTCCTCCAGAGGGAACTGGGGGTGAAACTGTCCTATGGATGAAACACACGCCGCTGACTGCCTGGGGACTCATCCAACCGGCCAAGCCTGCGATGCTTCCCACTCACCACCAGGTGTCGCCCTCGGCCCTCTCTCCGCCGCGTATCCATCCACTGACCGTGAACGGGGAGGAGGAGACAGTCCGGGAAGGCACATGGCCACATTCACAAACCAGAACGAATGCGGGCCCAGACGTCCTGGCGTGTGTCCCTACAGCTCTGCCCCTGTGGCCTCGCGGTCTTGCTTCCAGCCTCTGTACGAGTATTTGTGTGGGACCGAGGCCAGCTGGGGGTGGACATTCATTCCATCACCAGGACCCTGCAGACCGGGGCCTAACCCATCCCCGCGGGGCATCACTGTGGCCTCCCCACTCTGCAGCACCTAGGGTCTCAATGTGCCCCTCCTCACTCTAGGCCTACCCCGCTCTGTGGAGCTGCCTCCTAGACCTAGAATCTCTGTCCTCAACCTTTTCATCCCGTCCCCCTGGCCAGCCCCAACTCGGGGTACTTTTTCTGTTCCTCCTCCTACTCCCCAAAAGGGGCTGGAAAATGTCTTAATTCAGAAGCTTGGGGCCCAGTGTAAATTTAGGAGACAGTATGGCATGGAGTGAATAACAGGAGACTTAGTTCTCGAATCTTCTCTGGAACCTTGGGCAAAGCTTTCTGCTCTTTCCCTCAGGTGTCCCAGCAGAGGGAAGGACCCGCTGCCTCCAGGGCTGCCCCAGCACCCATCTAGACGCCCCTCACAGCCTCCCTCTCCCAGGTGCCTCGATCACCCTGGCCTCTGACCTACACAGACAACTTGGCCTCCCATTTCCCAGAAGCCTTGAGCCTGAAACTTACCAGGGGCATCTTCATGTTCCCCCTAACCGGGTGTGCATCCCTAGACGTCATTAGGTTCATCCCTTCTTATCCTTCATCTCTCAGTCCTGCGTGGACCTCCCCCAGGTACCCGTCACCCTCATCAGGGCTCAGCCCTCAGATCCTGGCTCAAACCCCACAGCCTTGGAGAAACCATTCCAAGCACACACACGTTTTTCTCCTCCTGCACGCTCCCCACCCCCTCATGGCAGAGACCACAGTCTGAACTTGTGCGTCACCTGCCTCTCCCAGCGGCAGCACTATGTACTTATTGCTCATCCACATCCCTCACATTTAGCCCAGTGCCTGTACATAGTAGATGCTCAGTAAACAGTTGTCAGATGGCTCTATCCCCACCCTGAGACTCACACCTAAATCTTTAATCTCTCCCTCCTCACGGTCATCTTCCTTGAGCTCCAAACATTCCCAGATTTGCCCTCGGTTCTAAAAAAATGTAGCCCTTGGGACTTCCCTGGCAGCCAGTGGTTAAGAATCCACTTGCCAATGCAGGGGGCATGGGTTCGATGCCTGGTCTGGCAAGATCCCACCTGCTGCCGGGCAGCTAAGCCCACGTGCCACACTACTAAGGCCTCAGGTTCTAGAGCCCGTGCTCCACAGCAAGAGAAGCCCCCGCGATGAGGAGCCCTTGTACCGCAACGAAGAGGAGCGCCCACTCTCCACAACTAGAGAAAGCCCACATACAGCAGTGACCATCCCGCTCAGGCAAATATAAATAAACAAGTAAAAATAAATGTACAGCTGTGCATTGTTGTTCAGTCGCTAAGTCATGTCTGACTCTTTGCAACCCCATGGGGCTGTAGCCCGCCAGGCTCCTCCGTCCATGGGGTTCTCCAAGCAGGAATACTGGAGTGGGTTGCCATTCCCTTCTCCAGACAATTGTGCATACTAGGTGTTTAAAAAAATTAAAAATGTAGCCACTTAAAAGTCTCTTATTTGTTCTCACTGACTTGTAATCTCAGTTTATTTTCTACATCTGTGATCTTCTCCAAGCTTTTTGATGTTGTTCCCTTTAAAAAGGTTTTTCTCTTAGTCCTCTTTCAAGGTTACTTCTTGTTTAGAAGGTAAACAGCACTGTCTTCATTCTCAAAGTCACATCTTCATCCAGGGTCCCATCCCCTTGAAAAATCTCTCTTCATCTCGTGGGTGGTCGTTTGCATCTTCTGAAACTCTTTACCTCTTTACCTTTCCCAAGTTTAATCTTTTAATCTCAGACTTTAGGCTTTGATCTTCGATCTTAAATCACATTCATTTTGTCACTTTATTTTATCATAATTTTAAACCTCTTAACTTTCATCTCTTGTTAAGGGTAACCTTTAAGCCCGATTTCCTGGTTGATTACAACTTTGTGTTATATATACACAATTTAAAGCTGTCATCTTCATTTTCTTTCTCATTTCAAAAAATTCTCTACGTCTTCACTGGCTTTTGATTGTCTCAGTTTAAAGTCATGTTTTCCTCAGGGATTATGTTTTCTTCATTTCTCGGCATTTGTCCTCATTAAACCCTATGCCAGTGGTGTTCGAGGTTTGTCATCAACCCTGTTTGAAAGGTGAGCAGATGAGGTGCAAGGAGAATAAACAGTTGCTGAAGGTCATAGGAGTGACCTGAGTGGCCGGAGGGATGACCAACCCGGGCCACATGGCCGAGTCCAGGCTGTCACTCTCTGCTTCCCTCACTCCTGGCTCCAGCCTCTGCTTCACCCCAAGAGTCCACGTGGCCCTACTCGGAGATCCTGTCTCATTCCCCTGTTCCGCAGGCCCCCTCAGGCAGCCCCATGCATCTCCCTCCCTGTTCACTGCTGCTTTTTCCCAAAACCTCGTTCCAAGAGACTCGAGAGACTCCCTAGCCTCTTTGCAAATGTCACCTTGATTTACTGAAGCACGTGGTTGCCTCAAATCTCAAGCCAGGCCACCCAGGCTCTCATTAAGGACCTGCATGCTTTAGAATCCATGGTCTCCGACGCCCACAGCATTGGAGTCAGAACAGATTCCGCCAGGAGACTGGCCGGACCAAGAGGCCTGCTGGGCGGGAGGTCCCACCCCATGCCCCCTGGTCTTCAGTGGGGACTGATGCTGGGGTCCTCTAGCTGGTGATGGAGGGCAAGACTGTCTTTACCAGGAACCTGGCCCAGCTTTACGCCAGGCTGCCCTGACACTCATTTCCGGGATGGTCCAGTCTTGTTCTCTGAAAGGCTGTTTGAAAGCCAAGCCACCGTGTTGCACAACTCCAGAGGGCGCCATTCATGTATTGCCGTGCAGGGATGCTGTGTGGAGGTCTTCCCTGTGGGCCAAGGCTCAAAGAGCAGCTGGCTCTCTCAGAATTTATTGTGAACAGAGATCATCTTTGGGGTTAATGATTTAGGCTACCCTTAGATTACCTCCGCATCCCCAGCCCTTTCCTGCCAGGACCAACACCGGTCACCAGGATCCCTTAGAATGTCCATTCCTTAAGCTTGTCTCCCCTCCTTCCCACCCTTCACCCCCAGCAACAAAGAACAGAAGGGTAGTAGGCAGTTTTAAAAAAAGAAATAGATCTGTTAAAACGAAAGGTGTCAGGCAAAACAGTGCATGTTGTACAATCCCATTTGTATACAGAATAAAACCTGCAACAATAATCGATGCTGTTCGAAGTCAGGTGTGACTAGGAGGAGGTATGGGGGGATGTCTGGGGGCCTGGAAAATTCTATTTCTTCACCTGCGTGCTGGTTACATGCAAGTATTCAGTTTATGAAATCCAATATGTTGTACACTGTGTCGTGTGTACTGTTCTGTACACAATACCTCAATAAAAATTTTAAAAAATTTGTAAAGCCTTTATTGAATTTGTCACAACATTGCTTCTTTATTTAATGTTTTGGTTTTTTTGGTCAAGAGTCATGTGGGATCTTAGCTTCCCAACCAGGGATCGAACCCGCACATCCTGCATTGGAAGGAGAAGTCTTAACCACTGAACCACGAGGGAAGTCCCTAATTTTTTTAAAAAAAAAAAGCAAAAAAGGAAGCATTCTCCTGCAGGCAGAGGATATAACTTTCCCGGGGCCTAGACCAGGTCTGGCCAGCCCACTAATTATCGCAGTCAGAGGGCTCAGACCTACCATCCCAGGTCACGACTCTGGGAGATGTTCTGGGTTTTTAAAGACTTTCAGATAACAACCCATTTCTGCAAGTCACCCCACTGAGTGTGGGGTCTTATTGAGAGCCTGGAAGCCTCAGGGTTCCCACCCACACATGTATGACACCTTACTGTGTGTTTTTCTTTGTTCTCTTTTTATTTTTTTTAACAGCTGTCTTGAGATATATTTCATATACAGCTCATCCATTTAAAGTGCTATGGTTTTTTCATATAGTTACAGAGTTGTGTGACTCATCACAACCAATTTTAGAACATTTTCATCACCCCCCGAAGAAACCCTGAGCCCCCGAGCTGTCGCCCCCCAAGTGTCTCCACTGTTCCCAGGAACAACTGTGTTTACCTCGTTATTGTCGTTGCTTAGTCACGCAGTCATGTGCAAATCTTTGCTACCCCATGGGCTGTACTCCGCCAGGCTCCTCTGTCCATGGGATTCTCCCAGCGAGAATACTGGAGCCAGTTGCCATTTCCTCCTCCAGGGGATCTTCCCGAGCCAAGCATTGAATCCACATCTCCTGCTTGGAAGTGGTCTGCTCTTACCTTTTGGATAAAAATAGATGTTTCCCTCCATATATCAGATGCCAAAAATTTCATAGGGAAATTGTGGCCCGTCTCTGACAACTGCAAGAGCCATCACCTCTGGTTTTTTCTTCTTTTCCTGCTCTTATTTTCCCTAATTTCCTAACCTATTTTTGGTTATCTTTGCAAATATAACTGGAAAAACCTACATTAGGATTTGATTGGAGGTGGCATTGAATTTATAGATTAGTTGAAGGGAGAATTACCTTCCCATCCATGAATTATCCATCCATCTGTATGCATGGTGTATCTTTCCATTTATCTAAGTGTTTTTTGTCTGTTGGTTTTGGTCAAGCTTCAAGGGCTTCGAGATCTTAGTTCCCTAATCAGGGATTGAACCCATGCCCCCTGCAGCGCAAGTGCGGAGTCTTAATCCCTGGACCACCAGGGAAGCCCCTGTATTTAAGTGTTTTTTTAATATTTGTGTCCCAAAGTTAATTTTACAATGCTATCTATGTGGGTCTTGAGTAACTTTTTACTAAATGTATTCCAAAACACCTTTTACTTTGTTTTTAATTACTCAATAAATGATGCTGGGACAATTAGCTGTCCATATGGAAAAAGAATAAAATTAGATTCCCACCTCCCACATAAGCAAAAATCAACTGCGGACAAATTAAAGAAGTATGTGTGGAAAGTAAAGTTGTGAAACTTTTAAAAGAAAATGTAGGATAGGGAAATGTATTCAACTTGAAAAACCCAAAGCAATAGTGGCTTAAGTAAGTTCTGTCTTATTTAATATCATTTATATCTCAGGTATAATTACTCTAGATGTAGGCAGTGAAACAAAACTAGA